GAGGCCATACGGCAATGGCTGAAATACAATCAACGATGTTCAACCATGGTTGATCATTGTCCTCAACACCCACCCACATCTCCCTCCACCTCTCCCACTGGCCATCCAGCCCTGAAAACATGTCTAAAAGGTGTGTAAAGTACTTTTTATTGTGTTTATTGACTAACTACATTATGGACTTAGAGAGAATTTTCATTCATTAATCCATTAAGACCATGGCAAAAACCTTCCAAAAAAGGAAGTTTTGATTAAAAGATAGAGATTCTTTGGAGCTTCTCAAATCTTCTTAGATCATGTGATCAGCTTTATTTCTCATAGAGATATTAATGATCTACTGTCAAATTTTTACAAAAAAGTGTTCTGTTTTTTTTTTTTTTTTTTTTTTTTGCATTTTTCTCAATGAGGAACAAAGCTAGTCACATGATGAGACCACATATAGACTTGCCAAGACACTCTCCACCTTTTGTATTTTTGCCTTATATGGCAGTTTGTTCCCACAGATCACATGCCCACTCTCCAGACATGAAATTCTCTCAAAAATGAATTTCTGGGGCCAGATTAGATTAGATTAGTCTGCTTATTCAGCAGCTACAGACAGCCTGCCCTCAAGATCAAGCTGATCTGGCCAGTAAGTTGTTTTTTCACTATCTTCCAGATGTTTTCTGACTAGAATATAATGTTTCTCAATTAGATCTTGCATCTCTCTGCTCTACTGGCCTGTCAGAAGGTATGTTTCAGCTCTTTTCAGTGTTCTAGCTTAATTTTGCTGTTTTTGAGAGATTTGCTGATCAATCTTTTTATTTTCTTTTAGATACTACTTTTTCTGAGGCTTCTGATCAGAAAAATATTGTTTCTGACTATTCAGGTGAGTTTTGCTGTCAGAATCTTTCAATTTCTCTCACTGAAGCTTAGTTTTAGAAAAACACCAAAAAATCAATTCTGATGTTTCACATATGTCTAATCATTATTTTTCAAATGAATTCTGGCTCATATTTAGATATAGAATCAACTAGTTTGGGTGGTATTCTCTGACAAGAATATGTTTATCATCTTCAACGAGATTTGTCTCATATCAAATCATTTCAACAAGTTTATTCTCATGTTAATATGTCTCTACAAGTTTCATCTTGTGTTAAGTCATATCTACAGGTTCTATCTTGTGTCAGTACATCTTCACAAGTCCCACCTTGTGTCAGTATGTTTTTACAAGTCCTATCTTGTGTCAAGTCAGTCATATGCTCTCTATCGTATGTTGAGTTATGTTTACAAGATTTATCTTGCCTCAGATTGTGTGTACAACATTCATGTTGTATCACTGTTGATAGTGGGACTCTGTCTCCAAGTTTTGAAACCTGAGTTAGAGGGACTTTGTCTCCAAGCAGAGTTGAACAAATTTTTTATGATGATCAATTTGAAAATTTGAAATTGACAATGAATTATGACAATGAAATTTTGATCTATGAATTTAAAAAGTCAATTTGCTTTGAGCAAAATATTGACAAGTGTCATTCAGACTCAACTTATTGGTCAGAATTATATCACAAGCTTTCTTCCTCTTTTATTTTGCGATTTTATATTCACTTCCTGCTATCAATTTTAAATATAGTTGATATCACAACACAAGATTCTTTTGTGTTCATTAAGTGACAATTAATCAAGCTCCAATTATCACATTACTGTCAATATTGTCATGATTATGCTGTATATGTAAATCGACTTGACATTTATCATCCTATCCTAATTTGTCCAGAATTCTTTCAGGAAATTTTGATCAATCAGCATATTCTCTACTTGCAAATTCTAACTTTATTATTTAACTGTTTATATATTTCTGAAAATTCACAATTTTACACTATTCCTTCTCATAAGATAGTATCTTCTCATGTACAAGGTGGTGCTCCATTACATATGTTTGATGCTGATGATCTTATCAAGTATTCTGAGAAATGCCAGATTAATTGTCAATATTCATTTGAAAATCACATATCTCAGACAGATTTCCCAAAATTTGAATCATCAAATAATCTTGTCATTGAAAATCTACCATTACATATCATTGTCAAGCATTTGAGTATTAAATATCTGAAATTGATTGCTTCTGCTTATAGTATTAAGTTCCACTCAAAAATTAAGATTACTGATTTACAGACATCAATTCTTTCACATATCTGTAGTAACTGTTCTGTATTCTATTCAGTATTTAAGTGTCATTATCTACAAGCCAAAGCAGAGAAAAGAAAGTCACAGATTCTTGAGCAGGTCAATAAGTACAAAGCAGCTAATCCTGAGAAATATAAAAATAACAATTTAAATGCAGTTAAGCGATATCAAAGTGCAAGTCCTAAAAAGGTTCAAGCTGATAATTTGAAGTCAGTTAAAAAATATCAGACCAAATTAAATACACAGTTTCCATCTTTATCTTTATCAAAACATTTGCAGCATAAAGTAATAACAAGCTTTTGTCAGAATTCTGTACCTTCAATATTTGAAGAAAGTGGTTGTTCTGTTTGTGGAAAATTGACTGTACACACTGACTTGCAAAAGCTATCAGAAACTCAGCTAAATATAGATATATTATATCAGAAAGGAGTAGCAGTAAAGGAAAGATTCACAGGTACTGATACTTTCACTGATATCACAGGACCTGTTCTTGAAAGCAATCTTGACTCAGTTTGTTCAATATGTTACAAATCATTATCTAAAGGGAAATTACCAGTACTAGCTCTGGCAAATGGAAAATGGATTGGCAAAGTTCCATCTCAGCTTCAGAATTTTTCATATGCAGAGCAACTTCTAGTAGCTCGAGTACGTCACAACAGGTGTCTCATACGAGTTTCATCTGGTATGCATAAAATGCAAGCTAATGCTATTTCATTTGCTAATCCAATGCCCAAAATTTACAACACTCTTCCACCTCCAATTGAGGAGCTTGATGATGTTTTGGCATTTATTTATACTGGTCCTTGTAAACCAACCAAGTCTGACTTTGAGAGAATTCCACTGCTTGTCTGAAGAAAGAAAGTTGCTGCTGCACTCGAGTGGTTGAAGTTGAATCACTGTGACTATTTTGACTTGGAAATTTCATATGATAATCTTGAGAAGTATCCAGAAGATGAGCCTCCAGTAGTAGTCGAGTACAAAGAATCATTCTCAAATAAAGATCCTGAGTCAACAGCTGTCAATGACATGGAAGATGAAGCTGGAGTTGAGAGTGGAACTTGTCCATTTATTGTTCATGGTGTTACTGGTGAAGAATATTCATCTAAAAGTCTTAAAGCACTCAAGGCAATTGCACTCAAGCATTTGACAGATAATGGAAAGATTCTCGCTATTGGACATAGTAAAAATCCTGAGTCAATATATCATAACCCACAGCTATTTCCTCAGATGATGCCATGGCTCTTCCCATATGGACTTGGTGGAATTGGAAATGCTCTTCAGAAGAATCGAGCATCAGAGATTGCACATAAGAGACACTTACTTATGTATTATGATAAATGGTTTCAGACAGATCCTCACTTTCCCCTCATTGCCTTCAATCATGAGCAGATTAAAGAGTGCACAACTGCTGGATATTTACTAGCTGAGAAGCCCAAGTTTGATCAGATATCTGAATGACTCCTTGATATTGATGTTGAAGTTCTGTCAGATTTAATTAAGCGACTTGAGGATGGTGAACATGTTAAACCAGAGTCTGAAGAAGAAAAGCTATGCTTCCAGCTAATTAAAGACTTGGACCATGTTGGTGGATTTGTTAAAGGATCAGTTACAAGCAAGAAGTATATGTGAAATGAAATCTGGTCACTTATTTCATTTATTGGTGCATCTTCCTGGTTTATAATTTTTGCTCCAGCTGATAATAAGCATCCAATCTGTCTGTATTTTGCTGATACCAAGGAGAAGTTTAGTCCAATATTGAGAGAGGATAATGAACGCTTCAGACTTATTGCACATAATCCAGTAGCTGGTGCAAGATTCTTTCACTTTATCTGTCAGCTATTTATCAAGCATATACTTGGGGTTGGAGCCAAACATTCTGGAATATATGGTAATACTGATGCCTACTATGGTACAGTTGAGCAGCAGGGTCGACTTACTCTTCATATGCATATGCTTATCTGGATTAAAAGTGCTCTATCACCTCAGGAAATTTGTGATAAAATCATGGACCCAAATTCAGACTTTCAGAAGAAAATTGTTGAGTATTTAGAGAGTGTTCATGTGGGAGAATTTCTTACAGGATCTAAAGATGAAGTCAAAGAGAATGATTGGGACTGCTAAAATGGATACAAATTATCAAGATCCAACTCAGACATTGCTTGTTCCACCACCACCAGAATGGAAAGACTTGTCATGTGAAGGAACTTGTTGCAACTGTGCTGAGCTTGAGACTTGGCGGTCAAAATTCAAGACTACAGTTGATGATCTTATTTTCCACTCTAATATTCATACTTGTCGAGGCCAGAATTCAGATGAGAAGGCAGCTAAAAAGACTTGACCAGGCTGTATAAATAAACATGGAAACTGTAAAGCCTGGTTTCCAAGACAGACCTATGATCAGACTGAAGTAGATCCCAAGACTGGAGCACTGAATATCAAGAAAGGAGAGGCTTGGATTAATACATTGACTCCAGTTGTAATCTATCTTCTACGATGCAATACAGATGTTACAAGTCTTTTATTGGGTACTGCTATTAAAGCTATTGTGGCTTATATCTCTGACTATGTGACCAAGCCAGGCTTGAAGATTTATAGCATCTTTGATGTTGTAAGAACCATCTTTACAAAAAATAGTGAAATGTTGAGCAGCTCATCAACTCGAGTAGAAAAAGTACATAAGCTAGTGACTCAAATGGTGAATGGATTTGCATCGCCTCTTTCTCTCGAACGCCCACTTGTCAACACCCATAAACAACCAGCTCACTGTCTCATTTGTCGTCCAACATGTTATCAACTCGACAGACCTCACCGCCTGAATGTTTGCACCGCACTAGCAACTCATGTCCGACCTCCCACTGAGAGGTCAGGGCACGAGACCCCCTGGGATCCATTGCAGGGGCTCAGGCTCCGCCCCACCAGCAAACATACCAGCATCGGTCGCTGGCTCATCATCCTTGGGTGGTGGTGCCTCGCCAATCTCGCCAGACCCTACTTCGACTAGGGCCACATACTCAACCGTCATGCCGTCTCGATCCCGCCACACGTCACCTCACCGCAGGTCCTGTTCCACCATGGGTTCCGCCCATTCGTCTGCAGATGAGTCTGACTCAGGGATGGCCCACCCCCAGGAGATGGAGGTCGAGGATGCTCAGGAAGGCGAAGAGGTCTCAAGGGACCCCTCCGTTGACCAACTTCTAGGTCAATACTCCTTGAAGTTCTGAGACACTGTTGAGGATCTTCCTGGAGATCTCGAGGTATTGACCACCTCCATTGTGAAAGCCACAGAATTGGATTCTGAGGGCTGCACATCACAATCTGCTCACCATCGATGGGGGCGATGCCTTTGTGGCTCAGATGACATCCTTTGTGAACGCCGTCATGGCCACCGACTTTAGTTGTATTCACGGACCAGGCGAACTCAACAACTTCTCGCTCGCCTCCCTTCTCGAGGCTGAGACGTTGTCTAAGGATGAGCCGACTATCCATCCGGCTCCCGTTTTTTGACCCCCTCCCCCTGCTGCCCCTGGGCCGCTCAATGAGGGTGCCGGCATTGGAGTTTCTTCTGACATCCTCATGCAGGCATTGGACAACTTAGGTCGCCCGGCCTCCCCTTCTCGCATCCCTGCCTCCAAGAAGTGTAAGGGTGTCGATCGTCCAGTGCCACCTCCTCCTCAGAAGAAGAACAAGGTCGCCTACTCCCACCCTGGTCTGCCTCTGCTGATCAATCGCACTACCAAACCCAAGCCCTGTCCGACGACGTGGGCAGGGATTGCTCGACAGGCCGCTCTGATGCCTCCCCTGCCTCCTGGCTTGGGACCGCAATGTTGCGGGCCTTCTCCCCCACCCTCATTCTCGACAGGGCCGATGAAGACCTCTCCTCATTGGTCTGTCCCCTCTTTCACTTCCGAGGGCCCCACCCAGAAGCAGGTTCTCGTGTCGTTCGGGGGTACCCCTCCTGACCTCACGAAAATTTTCACCAAGTCGGCTGTGCGCGCGGCCTCCAGGTACCTCAGGGATCAGCCATGTAGGCTAGAATTATACATGAAACTAGGCTACTGGCAATTCTCGTTCATAAATCATAGCTGCCAGTAGGCAGCCAGGCTATTTTCTATGTGCTGCTGGGTTTGCCGGGGCTCGGGTGTCTGCCGAGGCTGTGGGGACAGTAAACAATGACCAAATAATGCTCGGGAACATTGAATAGGGGTGCTCATCATTGTTGGGGGGTGGGACAGGGCGCGTGAAAGCTTCCAAATCGGGTATGACGCAGGAGAATACCTCTCCGAGATGCCCAGCAATGTAACTGGTCTCTAGCTCATCATTGGGGACAGCGGGCAGCCCCATTCTTGGGAATTATAATGTCGGGATAGAATACTACCTATTTCAGGTCTTTGCGCGCCTCACAGAGGGCAGGAGGGGATGGATGGGCAGTTGGGTGTTTGGATGACATTCTATTTTTAGGCAACATCATCGGGGGACCTCGGGAACACTCAAAAGCACACCAGAAAAGCACGAAAAATCATATAAAATTGTAATAAAATAAATACATGGTACAGGGTAGTTCTACTGGCCATCCGCTACAAATAGAACAAAACGAGCAGAAACGGCGCGTTCATGACACGCCGTTTCTACCTCCAGGGTGGGGGGGTTCAGTCACGGTCATTGCCCTTGTGCTGGGTTGCTGGTGCTTGCCTTCGTGCCATGGGCGTTGCACTCACGCTGTGGTCATCGTCATGGCGTGGTCATCCTCACGCCGTCGTGTGGTCGTCGTTGTCATGGCGTTGTCATTGTTGTGCTGAGGTTGTCGTTGTGCCCGGCAGACCGTCCTTGTTGTGCACGAGGTGCTGCTGGTCCCCATGCTCACGCTCCCCAGCCGTCGTTCTTGCCTGGTTGAGGTGGTTGTCCAGTCGTCGGTGCTGTCATGTTCGCATCAGCCTCATGTTGGTGCCGCCATCATGTTCACAGTGCTGCTGTTGTCATGTGGCCTTGTGGTTGCTCAGCTGCTGTGCTTGTGTTCACGTCGGCACCGCCACACCGTCCTGGTCATCCCATAGTTGCCAACACGAGAGCGAGGGGGCAAGGCAAAAGACGAGCTGCAGGGGGGAGACGAGGCCGACCTCACGTTACCAGCTGCCCACCCCTGCTCATGCTTGTCCTCCTCCACCTGCTTGTTGTCATCCTCCACCACTCGCTCGTCATCCTCCACTCACTCGGGCTTGTCTTCAACCCACCTTGCTCATGTCGACGCCATGCCACGACGTTCGTGGTGCAGGCGAACGAGCACAAGCGCAAGCAAGAAGGCAAGAGCTCCCCGACGCCACTCTTGTGTTTCACCATCATGCTCTCATCACTGTGCTGTAAGGGGTACTGGGCGAGAACTGGGTGAAATGGAGGGGCGAGACGGAGTCGCGGTGGACGAGAGGTGGCGTAGGCAAATGAGAGGCTGAGGGTGAGCGAAAGCATGTGGGTACAGGTTGTCGTGCCGTCGCCGCTGTCCTAGCTCATGCTCGCCGCCACCCGTCTGTTGGTGCTCTCCCGTCGTCGCCCCCCCTGCCCATCGTTTCGTCCTTGTGCCCGTGCCTGCTCAGCCGCCTGCTTCTTCCACTTATTCCTCCTTGACCACTTGCTGGTGCTTGCCTGATGTCAAATCGTTCACTCTCATGCCCGCCATTGCTTCTGTCCCGTACCCACGGTCGTGCCCATGCCCAGCCCGCCATCCTGTCATCGCCAAGCCACAGGTCAGGGAATGGGGAGAGTTCAAGAGAGAGGGTGCGAGGAACGGCTTGGAAGATGAATCAGCACCCCCATCCGAACGTTACACGACATCTTTGAGATGCCGTTACTCCGAGGATGGGGGGAGGGTGGAGAGAGGAGCGGGAAGAGGATGACGGGGTGCTGAGGTGAGCATCAGGGGCCAGTAGTTGCACAAAGGGAGACACCTGTTGAAGGGGAGGGGTGTGTGGATTGGCAAGGCAAGGCAAGGGCGATCGGCGATCGGCGGAGGATGGCAGGGCAGGGGGGAGCTCGAGTTGGCGTGGGGCTTAATGGTGCATTCGTGCCTGGCCCACATCCCTATTGAAGGGGAGGGGCACGAGATGGGGAGAAAACGAGCGTCGACTTTGAATCAACGTTTGTGTGCCTAGTTTTGAATGAATACCTTGTGTTAGAGTATACATACATGAATAGGACATGTTACTTACCTTTTTAAACAGCCCTGGGTCATCACTTGAGGCATTGGACGGCGAGGGGGGTCGACAGGTGGCGGTCGAGGACAAGCATCAACGACTCTCATCGTCGTTGATGGCTTATCCAGAGAATGCCATCAGCGAGCTGATTGGTTGGAACAGCTGGCCCGCTTCTCCGTGCTTCCGCTCAGTCACGACAGAATTGTTATAGCATAGCACAGATCATGAAAATTAATTGCTCGAGTGTCGGCATTCAATCCTGTAGTATAGATATGGCTATTTAGTTGTGTCCGGGGCTAATATTTTAGAAGGAAAACATGGAATAGGTATGTCAGCTATATGTTCTTCATAAGCCCTACCTCGGGACCATATCCTATACATGAGAAACCTCGGATCAAGGAGTACGAGCCATAATAAGTACATTGATGAGTCGTACATCGCTCTTTTGAACCGTCTGTATGTGAACTCGTAGTGCTTGACAGAAAATGAGGTGTGTAGTAAGACAGAGATTGAGCTAAAGTACACTTTTGAGGGGTTTTCAAAAGCCCCCGTCGCACTGGCTAATCCACAAAACAATTTACTTAAGGTATATATATATTATGACTACAACTCCCATTTAATTTAGAGCGTCAGCGAGGTGGAATAGGCATAATAGGACGAGGAGGGTGTGGTGATCTCGGTACATCGGCTGTCGGACTGCCTCATCCAGCCAATTGGATGAGGCGCAGCGTTTGCCAAATAATGATCAATGCCGACGAACCGTCATTGATCGTTATCCACGACTGCGACCACCACCCTCCGCACACCTTCCCCTTGCCAGCCAGCCTCGAAACACAAAGCAAAGGTAAGGTATTGTTATTTTGTGTATCTACATCCTTACTAATATGATTCCCCTGGTCACAGAAGCTCGCCCACGTCAACAACGACACGACGAAGGTGCCGCGTGTCCCTCCCCTCATGACAGGGATGTGGGCCAGTGCCAATCCATCTCACCTCCCTCCCTCGCTCTTGCCCGCGCCCTTCCGTGTATGCCCACTTGCCCACACCCGCTCGGTCACTCGCCGCACCATCACTCCTGAACCCACCATCCCTTTGGCTCTCACCTAGCTGCTGCGTGCCCCTCCCCTCACGATAGGGATGTGGGCCGGCACCCATGCACCCCGCCTACCTCCCTCCTATCCACGTCAACACTGCATTCTCCTCCTTATCTCCCTCTCCCTTCTTGCCCTCTCACACATGCCCTCGCAATCCCTCGCCCTCACCCTCGCCCTTGCCAACTCACCCACTCAACCCACACCTGCCGATGCCCATCTGCTGCCCCTTTCTGGGATGAGGGTGAGCAGGCGAAGGCAGATGTAGACGAGTGGAGGACAACATAGCCGAGCGACTATGCGTAGGGCTATGTGGCGACAGGACACAGACTTACGATGACGCCAAGACAATAGGAACGGTGAGGTGAGGGCAATGGCAGCGAGGTGAGGGCGAGAGTGGCAGCAAGTCGAAAAGACAGCAGCGGGGCAAGCAAGACAGCCCACATGGTGGCCCAGTTCAGGCTCTCTTGGACACCTGCCCTCACCGCCTCACCGCCTCAGCCACCCACCCTCGCGAGGATGACCATGGGGGGTGAGCCCAAGCAGGGCCACCACGGCACAAGGGTGGCAATGGTGTGAGGACGAGGACGGCACAGGCGTGGCGATGTCGGGGATGGCACGAGGGTGGAGAATGACGATGATGGCACGGTGAGGACGACGACTGCACAACGAGGACGAGGACGACTGCACAACGAGGATGAGGACGACTGCACGATGACAAGGACCAACGACGACGACCGATGATGACGACCACATGATGAAGAGGACCAATGACAATGACTGCACAGCAACGACGACCAACGACAAGGACAACCGACGAGGACAACCGCACGAGGACGAGGACCAACGACGAGGACTGCACAACAAGGACGAGGACTGCACGACAACAACAACAACAACAACAACAACAACAACTGCACGACCCCAAATAAGACCAGCACAAGGTGAGGGCAAGCATGGCCAGTCCAGGTGGCGAAGGCGAGCGCGACCCACCACAACGCGAGGGCGAGCCAGCCAGGTCCCCCGAGCAGAAATGGTGTGCTATGGCATGTCGTTTCTGCTCATTTTATCTATACCCTGCAGTGGGTGGCTCTACTAGCCACCTACGTCATGTAATAATTTTATTTCAATTTAATATGATTTGTTTGTCATTTTTTCGAGTGTGTCTGACCTCGCCGGATGTCGTTGTTCTAAAATTAGAACGACATCCAAACCACCACCCGCCCATCCACCCATCCCGCTCTCCCCTGAGGCAGGCAAACACCTGAAATGGGTATGAATATATCCCTATATTTTATTTCCGAAATATGGTGCTGCCCGCTGTCCACAACGATGAACTAGACCCTAATTACATCACTGGGCATCTCGGAGAGGCATTCTCCTGCGTTGTACCCAATTTGGAAGCTTTCCCACGCCCCGCCCCGCCCCCAACGATGACGAGCACCCTAGCTAATGTCCCCGAGCATTGTTTGGTCATTGTTTGATGTTGCCGTGGGCCCGGCAAGTGTTTCCGAGCCCCGGCAAACCCAGCAGCATACAGAAAAAGGCCTGGCTGCCTACTGGCAGCTATGATTTATGAACGAGAATTGCCAGTAGCCTAGTTTCATGTATAATTCTAGCCTACATGACTGAAATTATTACATGACATGGGTGGCCAGTAGAGCCACCCACTGCAAGGTATATAGACAAAATGAATGGAAACAATGCGCCATGAGCACCATTTCTGCTCAGGGGACCTGGCTTGCTCACCCTCGTGTCGTCGTGGGTCATGCTCACCTTCGCGCCCTACTGGCCATGCTCACCCTCACCTCCTGCTGGTCTAGCTTGGGGTTGTGCGGTGGCAATCCTTCTTAGGCTCGTGCCACTGTCATTGTCATGTTGTTATCATGCCATTCTCGTCATCGTTGCCGTTGTTGTGCCATCCTCATCCTCATCATCATGCTGTCATCCTCTTCGTCATGCCGTCGTCCTCATCGTCGTGCTGTCGTCCTCGTCCTTGTTCTCGTCATGTCATTGTCATTGTCATTGTCGTTGTCATTGTCGTGCCATCCTCCTCGTCCTCATCCTCGTCCTCCTCGTCCTCATCCTCGTCCTCCTCGTCCTCATCCTCGTCCTCCTCGTCCTCATCCTCGTCCTCCTCGTCCTCATCCTCGTCCTCCTCGTCCTCATCCTCGTCCTCCTCGTCCTCATCCTCGTCCTCCTCGTCCTCATCCTCGTCCTCATCGTCCTCATCATGTCATCCTCATGCTCACCGTGTCATCCTCGTGCTTGTTGTGCCCAGCCTCACCTCATGCTGGTCTTGCTTGGGGTTGTGCGGTGGCAATCCTGCTTAGGCTCCTCCTCATTGTTGTCGTTCTCCACCCTCGTTCCATCCCCGACGTCGCCACGCCCGTGCCATCCTTGTCCTCACACCATTGTCACCCTTGTGCCATGGTGGCCCTGCTTGGGCTCATGCTGTCACCATTGTCGCGTCGTGCTCACAACCCGGTCGTCGTTTTCCCCTACGCTACTTGCATGCTCGCCGTTTGCTCGCTGTGTGATGTATGGATGGGGGGCCAGAAGTGAAGGGGTGGGTAGGTGAGGTGGCAAGGGTAGGCGTCTGGGAGTGCACGAAATGGAGGTGCGCTGGAGAGGGTGTGCAAGATGGAGTGGGTGAGCCAAGGAGTGGATGGGCTGAGGGCAAGGGTAAAACCCTCGTATTCTTGTTGTTGTTGTGGCCGCCCTTGCATCGTCGTCATGTGCTCGTCGTGTCCATGTCACGCTGGACAAGCAGACCGCACGTATTGGATGAGCTGTGCTGGCCATTGCAGGTGCTGTTGTGCTCGTCTCACCACCGTCTTTTTGTCTTGCCGCCGTCTTAATCATCTCGCTGCCACCGTGTCAGTCTCACCCTGCTCGTCTCACTACCATTGCCGTCATCCCCCCTCTCGCCTTTGCATGCTTCCGTCAGCCCTGTGTCGTCATCCCCTCGCCCACCTCTGCCTTGCCCAGCTCACCCACGTCCCAGAACACACACCCCAGCCAAGTTACACTGCACCTACGAAGTGCTGTGGCTCCGAGGATGAGGGGCCAGAGAAGAGAGCAGGCATAGGCAGCTGAGGGTTGCAGGAATTGCAACCCAGCAGAAAGTTCGGGTCAGGTGGAGGGTAATGGGCAGGTAAGCAGGTGTAGGTGAGTGAGTGGAGGGCGAGGCAGTGTATGAGAGGGACGGGAGGGAGATGGAAGGTTGACTCGCAGGTTGGACTCAGATAGGGAACAGGGGTGGGTGGGGGTTTGCGCCAGCCCACATCCCTATCGCAAGGGGAGGGGCGCATGGTGGGTTGTAACGACTGTGCCGGATGGGGTGGGGACTTGGCTTCAGCTGGACAGAAGGGGCAGCTGCGCCACCATGCAACGTCTGGGTGTCCCCGATTTTGGATGAACAGGGAGGAGCCAGATTCCGGCAGTGAACTAGAGCAAAGGGGGTATGTCGAGTTCGATATTCCGACTGAGGAATCTATTACTGTACATGGGTATTTATGCTATGTAGAATAATGGACCATGATTATGTAATAGATAACTTAGCCGGGACAAGGAGAACAATGAAGGACAATGGGACAATGGCTGGGAGACACAATGGAGTGAGCCGGAAACATGGCTCGCCTCGGAAGTGCCTCGGAAGCGCACGCTCGTTCCCAGATGTCTCAGAAGCGTCCTGGAAGAGCACAGCTCATTACCACAAGCCTTGGGAGCCGGATAATTGTGCTGGGAGCCGGGGACAGGTCGTGACATGGGTTCACGTCGTCATCGTCGATGTGAGGGCTCCTGTTGGCAAAAAAATTAGGTTAGTTTTGTGATCAGCATATGAATACATACTCAACTCAACATACCTTATCCTTGTGTTTGGAACCTGGATGGCACGGGGGACACAAGGGACACGAAGGAGGGTGATGGTAGTGGTGGTGAAGGACGATGAGCAACGACAGTTCTTTGTCGTTGATCATTATCCGGCAGACACCGTGCCTCATCCAATTGGCTGGGCGAGTCGGTCCAACAGCCGTTGTACCGAGATCACCACAACTTGTACCACCCTGCGGGTCATTTCATGGCCGTTTGTCATGACCCGTCCCCAGCTCCCAGCACAATTATCTGGCTCCCGAGGCTGTATCCAGCTTCCAAGGCTTGTGGTAATGAGCCGTGCTCTTCCGGGACGCTTCTGAGACATCTGGGAACGAGCCGTGCGCTTCCGAGGCACTTCCGAGGCGAGCCATGTTTCCAGCTCACTCCATTGTGTCTCCCAGCCATTGTCCCATTGTCCTTCATTGTTCTCCTTGTCCCGGCTAAGTTATCTATTACATAATCATGGTCCATTATCCTACATAGCATAAATACCCATGTACAGTAGTAGATTCCTCAGTCGGAATATCGAACTCGACATACCCCCTTTGCTCTAGTTCACTGCCGGAATCCGGCTCCTCCCTGTTCATCCGAAATTGGGGACACCCAGACGTTGCGTGGTGGCGCAGCTGCCCTTTCCGTCAAGCTGAAGCCAAGTCCCCACCCCATCCGGCATGGTCGTTACACTGTTCCACCCCGCCGATGTCGAAAATTGAATGGGAATTATGTTCTATATGTACTTGTAACCTAAATTAATTAATTTGCTGCTCATCTGCACTGCTTAGTAGGTCTCGAGAAAGTCCACAAACATCATCGATGAACACACTATGGGTTTACACTACATGTTTGAATCTTGATTGTATCTCTCATCCAAGTGAAGGCACTACAAGTTCTCCCTGTCATGTAAAATATATCGGAGACAATTAAATAGATACTACTATACTTTTTATTGAGATACCGACACTAAAATGACAAAGTCTCGGTCTGTGTGGTGCTTAAGAACGATTCTGTTGAGAATGAGCAGAATGGCGGAGAAACGGGCTGTGGGTTCCAACCAATTGGCTCACGGATGGCATCGGCTGGATAAGCCATCAACAACGATGAGAGTCATTGATGCTCATCCTTGACCGCCACCTGGCTCGCCTCCTCTCCCTCCAATGCCTCAAATGAACCCCCAGAGTTGGGGGAAGAGGTAAGTAACATGTTTGGTTCATGTATATATACTCTAATACAAGTTTTTATTGAACATTAGGCCCCAAACGTCGACTTGCGGTCGACGTTCGTTTTCTGCCCATCTCATGCCCCTCCCCTTCAATAGGGATGTGGGCAGGGCTCAAACGCACCCTTAACCACCCCACACCAACTCACAACTACCTGGCTACTCCCCATCCGCCCTGCTGTCGCCCCATCGCCGATCGCCCTCGCCCTGCCCTGCCAATCACCCACCCCTCCCCTTCAACAGGGATGTGGGTCTGTCTCCGTCCACCTGCCAATGCTCACCAATGCCTCTCCTCATCCCTTCCCTCTCCTCTCCTCTCCTCCCCCCATCCTTGGAGTCACGGCATCTCAAAGATGTCATATAACATTCAGATGGGGGTGGCGATTTGCCTTCCGAGCCACCTCTTGGCCTCCCTCGCCCGCACCCTCTTCTGGACCCACAGTTTCACAGCGATATGACAACTAAATGACCAATGCAACAGCAGGGATTCAACCATGACAATGAAGATGAGAAGATGAGAAGAACGACGACGTGAGTCCAATGGCGGGCACGGTTCAAACAGGCTGGGATGTGAGACGAACACAGTACAGTGGCGGCATGAACACAAGCACCAGGGCTGGACCAAGGCAAGAGTCAGGGTGCAATGAAAACAAGCACGAGCAGGTGTACGACGACGAGCACGAGTGGGTGTATGACAAGCGGGACCAACCTACCGACTCTCCCTGCCGCCTGCTCTCATCCCTTCCCTCCCCTCCCCTCTCCTTACCCCCCCATCCTTGGAGCCACGGTGTCTTATAGATGCTGTGTAGCGTTGGGACGGGGTGGTGTTTCTCCCCATATGCCTCGCACCCTTCCTTTCACCAGCCATGTCAGCTAGAATCCTATATCAAATACTGTGTCTAAGCAGTGTGACGGGGTCAGTCCTGACTGCCATAATGCAGTCCCCCCTAGCCCGAGACAATGTGGAAGGGTTTCCATGGCTCCCGGGGCTGCTCCATGTGTGCGGGACATGTCAACATAGCCAAACAATGCAGCAAACAGTGCCCGGACACTGTTTGCCCTCGTTCTCGGGGTATTTGGCACTGTTTTGGGCAGGGAAAAAGCGGATATGGGGTCTCCTCATTATTCTGCACATTCCCTGACCATTTCCCCCACCGACGGGGGGCGGGAATAGGCTGGATTGGGAGGGGGACACATGGATGACATGGCACAGGTGCGCGTGATGGCAATTCCCCATTTGGAAGGTGGTTCATTTCCAGGTGCTGCTGGCAGTAATCCTGGCGTATTTCGCTCATTTCTGGGCCGATTCTCTTGAATAAAAAAATACCATAAATCGTAGAATATTTGTAGCTTTCCGTAGACCCCTCGAACGTGAGATTCTGACCATATTTGGTGGCTGCACAGCCCAATTAATGCCCTGCACCTCGAAAATGCGAAAATGCGGCCTCACTGGGCCCCCTCCTATGCATCCCCTGGCTGGGACAGGTGTTCGTTCATGAACAAGCATGTTATTGAGTCCTATTGGCTGAAGAATATCAGCATTACCTGCAAAACTGCGTGCATAATTGCCTAAACAGTGAAATTCGCTAAAAATAGCCCCAAAGTGCACTGGATTCTCTACCCCTTGCAGGGAGCAGACCCTCGGGACACCTTGGCGGTTTGGTAGGGGACGTATAGGGCTTTCAGAAGACATATTTTACATAGCCTCGCGTGCAGTATTCATGGCTGTACACTGAAATTACTGATTTCGCACAAAATCACCAAAATGCGCACCATTACCCTCCTCAAAATCCCCCTTTCGCACCCAGATACCTGGTCATATATGCTCCCCTACATTAACCCTATCGAACTGTCACCTTTCTTTGGTTATATCTCCCTTACAGCCTTTCTTATTCCACCCTTCTCCTCCCCCTCCAAAACCAAAAATGCGCACTGGAAATTTTCATCTCCTGCACTTCCTGGAGCTCTGATACATAGGCGAAACTCTTTAGTACATAGTAGAGTACTCACCTGCAGGCACATGTCTTTAAATATACAAATCCACAATTGCAGGACACATATTCCTGCTTTTCTTGGTTCCCTCCTAGTGTTTCACCTCTCCTGGGCTCAATTCCTAGCTGATCTTGATGCAAATATGTTCCCCATACTCAGGAAGAATGGCCTTTCAAATATAGATACCCCCAAGAACACATTTCAGACCACTGAGATAACAGCAAAATCACACTGATTGACCATTTCAGCAGGATCAGAGACATAATTATTTAATCAGACACTACAGAAAGCTCGTACAGATGTGCCATGTCATTCCCCAAAAAGTTTCAGGATGATAGAGTCAATGTGGAAAGCAGGAGGCTCAAAAATGCGCCAGGGAAAGACCATTGATGAGTGGTGATCACCAGGTTTGCTATAGCTAATTATGTTTCCTAACCATGTCTTTGGTTACCCTCTCTCATAGATCTTCCATACCTTTGGGGGACCATAGTAATTCAAAACTATCATATATTCCCTATTCAAAACACATTTTTCCATGATTTTAGAGGGAGTAGACGGACCTGAATTCAAGGGGGAGTGTCTGTGTTTGCCAAATTGGCTGGCAGAAGGACAACATTGTTCATAGAATATTCAATTCTGCGTATAATTTGTTTGGACTTTTTTCAGGATACTCTGAAACATTATGGTAACATATCCCGACCTCCAGCAAAAGGATGGATGGGGTACAGAGTGTGCCAGAGCGATGCCATTGTCCCCATCAATAAATCCGGAAATTTCTGGAATAAGGAAAGCGCACCTGTTCCAGAGGCATTGGGGACCTCCTTGCTGAAATAAAAGAGTAGGAAGTATCATGGGAGGTTGTCTGGACAACTACAGTAGTCACATCTATAATTATTTGTCCATGGCAGGGGAATACTGGCCAGATTAATGTACTGATAGATGTGAGGGGGGGAGGAGTGATTGATTTCGTGTCCCAGGTACCAAATAAGTGGACTATACTGCATATTAGGAGAAGAAATTACTGTGAGCTAGTATAATATGATCCTAAAAGGCAAGAAGCCCAAAGTGAATCACCCAGGGAGGGGTAATGGTGCGCATTTTGGTGATTTTGTGCGAAATCAGTAATTTCAGTGTACAGCCATGAATACTGCACGCGAGGCTATGTAAAATATGTCTTCTGAAAGCCCTATACGTCCCCTACCAAACCGCCAAGGTGTCCCGAGGGTCTGCTCCCTGCAAGGGGTAGAGAATCCAGTGCACTTTGGGGCTATTTTTAGCGAATTTCACTGTTTAGGCAATTATGCACGCAGTTTTGCAGGTAATGCTGATATTCTTCAGCCAATAGGACTCAATAACATGCTTGTTCATGAACGAACACCTGTCCCAGCCAGGGGATGCATAGGAGGGGGCCCAGTGAGGCCGCATTTTCGCATTTTCGAGGTGCAGGGCATTAATTGGGCTGTGCAGCCACCAAATATGGTCAGAATCTCACGTTCGAGGGGTCTACGGAAAGCTACAAATATTCTACGATTTATGGTATTTTTTTATTCAAGAGAATCGGCCCAGAAATGAGCGAAATACGCCAGGATTACTGCCAGCAGCACCTGGAAATGAACCACCTTCCAAATGGGGAATTGCCATCACGCGCACCTGTGCCATGTCATCCATGTGTCCCCCTCCCAATCCAGCCTATTCCCACCCCCCATCGGTGGGGGAAATGGTCAGGGAATGTGCAGAATAATGAGGAGACCCCATATCCGCTTTTTCCCTGCCCAAAACAGTGCCAAATACCCCGAGAACGAGGGCAAACAGTGTCCGGGCACTGTTTGCTGCATTGTTTGGCTATGTTGACATGTCCCGCACACATGGAGCAGCCCCGGGAGCCATGGAAACCCTTCCACATTGTCTCGGGCTAGGGGGGACTGCATTATGGCAGTCAGGACTGACCCCGTCACACTGCTTAGACACAGTATTTGATATATTTCTCTAGCTTATAGAAGTGCTTTCACCCTCTCCCTCTGCCCGACCAACGTTTCGCGGCAAACACGGCAGGAGAGACACATGCAAGACGGTTCACAAGAATGACCATGACCACGATGAGGGCGTGGGGTGAGTCCACTGGGAAGGTGAGGCGAACACATCCCCAGCAGCGGCAGGGTGACGAATGTGATATGCACATGACGGCAGGCAAGATGAATATGACCGGCGATGTGACTAGGGCAGGACAAACACAACCGTGAGCGGGTGGACGAGCATGAGCACGAGTGGGCTACGTGGTCAGCTCACGTCTCGTCTCCCCATCCACCTGCTACCCCGTCTCTTGCCCTCTCCCCTACCCACGACTTGGCGTAACACGACTACAACGGTGCAGGCACAGACACGAACATGGAAGCACACGAATGTGGTGGCAACCCGAGCTCAACGAGAATGTGACCATGGTGGTGGCAGCACAAGCACGGTGGCGGCGAAACGAGCACAGCAGTGGCCGTGGCAACACGGACACAACAGTGGCCACGGCAACACGGACACAACAGTGGCCACGGCAACACAGACACAACAGTGGCCACGGCAACACAGACACAACAGTGGCCACGGCAACACAGACACAACAGTGGCCACGGCAACACAGACACAACAGTGGCCACGGCAACACAGACACAACAGTGGCCACGGCAACACAGACACAACAGAATGGGCACAAACACGACGAGGATGCGGACATGGCAGCATGGCAGTGGCAACATGCATGGGGTGGGAACATGAGCAAGAGACAAGCCGTATTGTCAGCTCAAGGGAGGCAGCGGCGGCAGTCACAGGAGGTACGAGCCAGCAACGGTTGTCGAGAACGATGAGGAGGTATACAGAGCAAAGCGGCATGTTCACAGCGCGTCGTTTTCACTGGTTCTGCTTCTTTTTTGTCGTGGATGGTTTTACCAGCCCCCAGCATTATGTACTTATTTTTATATAATTTAATATCATTTTTTCTTATTTTATGGTTGTGCCCTCGAGGCTGCCTGAGCTCACCAGATGTCGTGGTGGATGACGTCAAGCACTATCTAGTTGTTTGTAAGCTGATCTGCACAATGGTCAAGACCTGACGGTCCAGGACTGAGGGGATCATGATGGAATGGACGAGCCCCAAGGATGACACATCTAAAAATAGAATGTCATCCATCCACCCACTCACCCATCCACCCTGTCCCACCCTCCGTGAGACACGCAAACACCTGAAATGGTTATGGATATATCCCAGCATTATATTCCCAGAAAATGGGGCCACCCGCTGTCCCCGACGGTGAGCGAGAGCCTACTTACATTGCTGGGCATCTGTCACATCCCATGCCTGAACCCATTGTTCTATTGTTCCATTGTTCATTGTTCTGGTTCTTCAATGGGCTTTACTTTCATTGTTTCATTCATTATTGTCTTCATTGTTCTCTGTCATTGTTCTGCTGGCATTCATTACATAACCTAGATCTTCTCCATTGTTCTCAATAGTATAAGTAGCTAGGTAGTGTACTGGATTCCCCAGCTTGAATCTCAACCTTGACAACCCCTCTGCTCTGTTGTTCATCCTCTGTCTCCTGGGCCTTGGCCAGGATGACTTCTTCTTGTCTCTCCTTTGTCAAGACCAAGGCAGTTCCTGTAAATTGGGGACAACCAGATGATGTGTAGGGGCACAGCACAAGAGCATGCTGAGGCCAAGTCCCCCCCTCTATTCAGGTCATTACAGCATCTCGGAGAGGCATTCTCCTGCGTTGTACCTGATTTGGAAGCTTTCCTGCACCCTGTCCCACCCCCAACAATGATGAGCACCCTATTCAATGTCCCCGAGCATTGTTTGGTCATTGTTTAGTGTCCCCACAGCCTCGGCAGACAGTCCCAAGCCCCGGCAAGGCCAAGCAGGACATATAAAAAAGCCTGGCTGCCTACTGGCAGCTATGATTTATGACTGAGAATTGCCAGTAGGCTATTATTGATACATATCTCTGGCTGTTACAAGTGCAGGGATGGCCGTTCCATGTTGAAGGTCACCTCCATTGTCCGCGCCTACGACAGCCTGTCGTTGGTCACCCCCGCTGTTGCCAGTCTGTCCGACCTGGACATACTGTGCAACTTCATCCGCGAAAGCCTCCCGACGGGTACCCCGTTCGAGGTTGCGCTCCCATCGTCAATGTCTTTTATAAAGATCCTTGACATTCCTTACTTCGATCTGAAGGGGTTGAAGATCACCCAGGAGGCACTTGAAAAGGCCCTCCGCACCTCAGTTCATGCTGAGGTTTTCGCATATCTGAGCACCAAGCCTCAGATAGATCGCAACTCCACGCACTCAACATCGTGCACAGTCTACTGCAACCTTTGGGACTCCCAGCAGGGGACCTGTGCCAAGAAGGCCCTTGGCCAACTGATCTTCCTTGCCGGGTGGTCCTGTGCAATCAGGCCCACCGCACGACACACCGGGGTCCCACTTTGCCAGCACTGCTGGAAGTGGGGCCACCCCACTGTCACCTGTAAGGCAAAACAACTCTCCTGCCCTATCTGTTTGGGTCTGCACAAGCAGAAGGAGCACCGTCAACATGCAAGATGTCGCAAGGGGAACGTGAAAGCGAAACCCCCTGTGCCACCCACCCCTCGCAACCAGCCTTGCCCCCACAAGGGCCACTGCGTCAACTGCCACAAGGACCATGCTGCCAACTTGGCTTTGTGCAAGTTCTGGGCTCATCGTTACGACCGTGAGTGGATCATGGCTGAATATTGTCAGGTACGTGAGCATGCCACTCGCCGCCAACTTACTAACCCCCAAACCTAGACCAATGTTGGGAAACCTTCAGGATCTAAATAGCGGGCTATGTATTTACTGTCAGAACGTTTGTCACACATATGCACACATAGACACCCTCCTCAAAATTTGTAAAGACAGATTTGATATTTTATTTTTCCAAGAAACCCTTTGGAATTTCATAAGACACGCACCTTCCACCACTAGTATGGAGGGCAATGAGGTTATCAGCGCACCAAAGCATCTGGACTGGTTGCAAATGGTGCGCATTAAGGAGGGTGAAGTCCCTCACATGATTGCCTATGTTTCAACTAGGTTGTCCCGCTATCGTCCCGCTATGCGTTGCGACATCGTCGACCATCGTGACATACTTGTTCTCTCCCTCTTCAGTGGGGGTGAGGTTCTTAATCTAATGAACGTCTATTCTGACGATCAACACACAGCCATTGAGCACCTCGCTGCTCATGTGCATTCTTTACCACCTTTCATCTACATGGCAGGCAACTTCAATTGTGTGTCGGCAACTTGGGATGACTATGAGCATGGCGAGTCGTCGACAGCAATATCCCTGTGGGACACCGCATCTCAGATCAGCCTCAAGTGGGCACAACCTTCTAACCATGGACTGACAAGAATCAGTCCCAATCCAAACCATAGATCCAACATGTTGGATCTTGTATTCTTAGCTCCATCTGAGATCCTAATCTCGACGCCCAGATTGGAGCACGATCTCCAGGGTCCATCAGATCATGTCCCGATCTGCACGGATCTTGATATTGGTCCCAAACTGCCCAGATCAGACAATTAAATCCGGAAGCAAGGCTGAGAAGTCTTTCATTTCGGACATTCTCCAGGATCTTGCAGCTATTCCTGTTGCAGCCCCGGCTACCAAGGAAGGCATTGAAGCTTTAGCTGATGCTATTGTGACAGCAATCTCGGACACGTGGCTCACCCACTCGACCAAGTCTAAACCTACCAAGCGCTCCAAGTCCTGGTGGACAGACGAGTGCTCGGAAACATTTGGAGTATATCAGTTGAGTCACTCGCTCACTGATTACAGCAAATTCAAGAAGGCATGCAAGGATGCCAAGCGTGATTTCTTTGATGAACGCATCGCAGAAATCACTACTTCTCACAAGTGCCCTTGGGACCTGATGGAATGGGTCAAACAGCACAAGCTACCACCCTGTGAGGCTATTTGCAATGGCGACCAGCCTTGCCATGATATGGATGACCTTTGGGATGCCCTTCATGGCACATACAACTTGGCCTCTGGTTGCAAGTATGACGCCTCAGTCTTAGACGAGCTTCCTGACGAGCCGGTCCGTGAGTGGGCTGACTTTTCGGAGCATGAGTCGTTGAGTGCTCTTAAGGGGTGTTCCAACTCCTCTGCACCAGGACCAGACCATGTTACGTGGGTCCACCTAAAGGAGTTGCTCAAGGACAAACACGTCCTTGCACTCTTCATCATGTTGGCCAATGCTTGCCTTAGGGTGGGGCACTGGCCATGTATATTCAAGGAGTCGCTGTTGGTTATCGTACCGAAGCCGAACAAGCCCTCCTATGCAGTGCCGAAGGCTTTCAGGCTGATCATACTCCTCATCACTTTTGGTAAACTTATCGAAAAGATGATTGCCAACAGGATACAGTTTGACACTGTCAAACATGATATCTTTCATCCAAACCAACTTGGCGGTATTCGCCAGAGGTCAACTGAGGATGCTGGATTGATTCTGACTCATCTCGTGCGAGCGGGGTGGGTCAAGGGTCTCCAGACTAGTGCGCTGGCTTTTGACATCACACAGTTCTTCCCTTCTATCAACCATGAAATGTTCATGGCTGCCCTTTGCAAGCAAGGGTTTTTGCCAATATTGGTGGAGTTCTTTGCTTCTTACCTTGTTGGGCGCTCCACAGTCTACTGTTGGAACACCTTCCAATCCAACTTGTGGTCTGCGGACATGGGTGTCGGGCAGGGCTCAGCCCTCTCACCTGTTATCTCAGGGCTCTTCATTGCTCTGGTGATGAAGCTCTTCTATATCAAAGCGGCGCCACTCAACACAACACTACTCTCCTTTGTTGATGATGGGACCATTCTGGCCCAGTCCAAACAACTCAATGATAATAATGTGGGCCTGCATAAGGCCTATAAAATTATCTACCTTTTATTCATTGCATTTGCACTCGTTCTTGAACATGACAAGACCGAGCTGTTTCACTTTTCTCATCGATGCAACACATATAATCCCTCACTGGATTTGGGGTATGCTCCACATACAGGCACCACACCTTTGAAGCCCAAGACCTATTGGAGGTACTTGGGCTTCTACTTCGACCACGGGCTCACTTTTCACAAGCATGTTTGCTATTACGCCACCAAGGCATTCACCACTGTGCAGGCCATGTGCATGCTTGGAAACTCTACCAGGGGTCTTTCACCTAAGCAGCGACACCTCTTGTATAGATCATGCGTGGTCTCTATTGCCATGTACGGTTATCATCTCTGGTACTTTGATGGTGCCCGCAACAAGGGCACCATGAACCAGCTTAAACGGATGCAGCAAAAAGCTGCTCTATGGATCATGGGTGCCTTCCGCACCTCACCTACAGGCGGTCTTGAGGCTTTGGCAGGTCTCATCCCCATCCACCTTGTGCTGAAGAAGTTGGCAATGTGCGCAGTGTACCACGTCACCACCCTCTTTGCTCCATGATGGACGAGAGACTCCTCAAGCGGGCCAAACCACACGCCCACTCAGCCGCCTTGATGACCCCAGCTATGTGAGGGAAAGTCAAGAGCACCGTCATGGAGGTGGATGAGCGTGTCCACACCTTAACTGAGAGCTTCAAGCCCTTTGTGCCCAAAGCTTTCCCTGGTGATCGGTTACTGGACCACTTTGCGGACCATCTCCATTTTGATGAGCGTGATCCTACCCAGGATAGGCGCCCATATCTCAACGAGCTCGTCGCAAAAGTGAGGGCCAACCCTTTAACAGTACTGGCTGCAGCCAATGGCTCTGTCCCTCGGTCCAACCAGTATCAGGCGGCCTCGGCTGCCATCATCTACAAGGGTCATTGCGAGCTCAAAAGGACTTGCTATGTCTCAGGCAGAGTTACCGCCCCTGATGTGGAGCTCAATGCCATTGCGTGCGCAGTGCACCTTGCTGTCAAGCAGGCAAACTGCCAACATATCATGGTCTTCACTGACTCCATGGGCTCAGCCCACAGAGCAGTGGACCCCTCTGTACACTCTGGTCAGGCTTTTAGTCTGTCAGTCTGTTGCGCTCTCCAGGAGTGGTTCGAGACAGATGATCTCTGCCGCATCACCTTGATTTACATTCCATCAGCTTTGCGGTGGGACATTCATGGTGAGGCACACAAGTACATCACCGAGCTTAAAGTCAGGGTTGGACATTGCAAGACGGACAATTCTATAGACATGCTATGCTCTCAAGCCGCGCACTCAGTCCTGGATTTGTGGAGTTCCACTTTCCAGGATCTGACTTACTGAGGCTCTGAATTCCTGGAGCTTCAACGGCCTGACAGGTGGCCGATCCAACCATTGTATCTCAATGGGGGACCTTGGCTCTCAACATTCGGACACAGTATTACTGAGTTTGCTCGTGTCTGCCAGTGTATAACTGGCCATGCGCCCATTGGAGCGTACTACCGTCGCTTCAAGATCAATGAGCCCCATGGCTGCACTTGCAGGGCTGCTTTGCAGTCTCGCCAGCACGTCCTCTTTCGCTGTCACGATAGATATTCTGTACACTATCCCCGTTTCCTCAGGGATATTGCATCGTTTATGAAGCACAACCCCACAGTGTTTGGCTTCAACCAGGACCCTTCAGGGGTCAGATAATCGCTGCAGGTGGGGTTATTCCTCCTTTTGGGGGATTTGTCAGTGAATTGACACCCTCAAACCTTAGGGTTTGGAGACCTGCGCCTGCAACAATTCTTTTGTGCAGGCAGTCTTTCCATTTCGATTGACTGCAGCACTGCTAACTTTCTGCGTCTGGTTTCAGGCAGGCGCTTCTCTGGCTTGTCAGCCTCAAGACACCCTGCCACCTCCCGGGTGGTGCTGTTTTATTTCATTTGCGCTGCGTGGCCTCCGAACAGCGTTCAACAACTCTGGGGTTTAGCGGGGCCTTGATGGTCTCTTCCCCTTATCCCGAGTCACCGTTTTCGCAAGGTGGGTCTGGCTTTGTGGGAGTTTAGGCGTTTGAGCCACAAGGCTCGTGGTTGGGGGGGTGGACATCTTTTAGTAGTTTACTTAGTACCCAGGCTGCGCAGTGTATGTGTTTGTAGATAGCGAGTGGGCTGCCACAGAGCACCGCTATATAAATTGTTGAATAAAAAAAAAAAAAAAAAAATGGTGAATGGATTTACTGCCAAGATGGAAATTGGAAGTCCAATGGCTGCATTATATCTTCTAGGAAATCCTGATCACTATACCAGTCATAAGTTCATTACTGTCTACTGGAAGAATTATGTTAGAGAAGTTCTGAAGTCATGGAAATCTGATGAAGTACTGGATGACTTGATTCCAGAGAAAGTGGTTCTTTGAAAGACAAAAAGTGGACAGTATGTTGGATTCTCAGCAGTGCATGACTATGTCTATTGACCAGCAGCATTTGAAGACAAGACACTATATGAGTGGATTCAAATGAGTGTTAAAATCAAAGCTTCTCACTCTCAACAACATGACAAAATTGAATCAGATGATGAACTTGATTTATTTGCCCAGCCTTCTTTTGAAGCCAAATTTAAAACTGCTAGCCCTTCAAAATTCAAAGCTACAGTTGAGGATGTAGATGAAAGTGAAGATGAACTTAATGTTCTTTCTGGTGATGAGTTAGAAGAGTATAAGAGCAAATCTGAATCTGAATCTGAATCTGAATTTAAAGAGACTTCTGATGGTAAAACTTACTTATTTTTGAAGGATCATCCTATGTATGAAACTCATCAAGTTGTTTTTAATGAGAAAAGAAAAAATATTGTACCCAACTTTGTAGGTGGATCACTTCCAAGATGTGATAGAGGAGACCGAGAATATTACTGTGCAACTATGCTTACTCTCTTCAAGCCTTGGAGAACAGGAAAAGATCTGAAGACTGAGATTGATACTTGGGATAATACGTTTAATACTTTCAGCTTTACTGACTATCAAAAGCAGCTTATGAAGAACTTTAACATTAGATATGAATGCAATGATGCTCGCAATGATTATTCTGCTCAATTGAAGAAGAAAAATACTGGAATATTTCCCCAATTTATGAGTGATGATATACTTGATGATCTTGATGAAGACAATAATAATCAATATAGTGGAGCAGACTTTGGTGATGATGCACCTGATGAAAAATATGAACAGAACAGATATATGAAACCTGGAAGAAAGTGTCAGAGAGATATTGAAGATATGATAGCAGTAGAGACTGGAATAACTGATGCTGGATGGATGGACCAGTCACCCAATGGACTTGATGAAATTGACAAAATACCTGTTGAACCAGAAGTCATTCAGAAAGGATCTAGATGGAAAGCTACTGTTGATGAAGAAAGACAGAAGCTTCTGGCTGAGAGAGGAAAGACTATCTCAAAGTCTGCTCAAAAATCATCAGACCCAAATGAAAATAATGTCCAAGTGGTTGACCAGTCATATCTTTTCAAATCCTTCAAAGCACAACACAAGTCTGATCAGAAACTAATTGATGATACTGTTTATAAATTTTCACTGAATAATGAGCAAGAGCGAGCCTTTAGAATACTTGCTAATCATGCTATAGAGCCTAAATCTGGACAGTTGAAAATGTACTTGGGTGGTATAGGTGGAACTGGAAAATCACAAGTCATCAAAGTCAGGGTTGGACGTCGCAAGACGGACAATTCAATAGACGCGCTCTGCTCTCGAGCTGCACACTCAAGTCTGGATGCATGGGCCTCCATGTTCCAGGATCTGACTTACTGAGGCTCTGAATTCCTGGAGCTTCAACGGCCTGACAGGTGGCCGATCCAACCATCGTACCTCAATGGGGGACCTTGGCTCTCAACATTCGGACACAGTATTACTGAGTTCGCTTGCGTCTGCCAGTGAATAACTGGCCATGCGCCCATTGGAGTGTACTACTGTCGCTTCAAGATCAATGAGCCTCATGGCTGCACTTGTGGGGCTGCTCTGCAGTCCTGTCAGCACGTCCTCTTTCACTGTTGCAATAGATATTCTGTACACTATCCCCATTTTCTCAGGGATATTGCATTGTTTTTGAAGCACAACCCCACAGTGTTTGGCTTCAACTGGGACCCCTCAGGTGTCAGATAATCGCTGCGGGCAGGGTTATTCCTCCTTTTGGGGGATTTATCAGTGAATTGACACCCTCGAATCTTAGGGTTTGGAGACCTGCACCCGTGACAACTCATTTGTGCAGGCGGTTGACCTTTCTTGGTTGATCGCAGCACCGCTAACTTTCTGCATCTGGTTTCGGGCAGGCGCATCTTTGGCTTGTCAGCCTCAAGACACCCTGCCACCTCCTGGGTGGTGCAATTCTTATTTTCATTGTGCTGTGTGGCCCCCAAACAGCAATTGACGACTATGGGGTGTAGCGGGACCTCAATAGTCTCCTCCCCTTATCCCGATGCACCGTTTTCACAAGGTGGGTTGCCCTCTGGGGAGTTTAGGTGTTTGAGCCCAAAGGGTCTTGGTTGGGGGGGCGATCGTCTTTCAGTAGTTAACCTAGTATCTGGGCTGCGTAGCATATATGTTCTGTAGATAGCAAGCGGGCTGCCATCGAGCACTGCTATATAAATTGTTGATCAAAAAAAATAAATAAAAATAAAAAAATCACAAGTCATCAAAGCCTTGGTGGATTTTTTTAAGTCAAAAAATCAGTCACATTGGATAGTTGTTCTTGGTCCAACTGGTACTTCTGCAGCTCTTATTAATGGATCTACCTATCATTCATTTTTGGGAATTAATCCTGGTGGAAATACAGCCTCAAAAATTGCCCAACTTCAAGCTCGACTTGAAGGTGTTGAGTATATATTTATTGATGAAGTCTCAATGATGTCTTGTATGGATATTTATAAGATTTCTGCCCAGTTAGCCAAAGCTTTGAATGCATTTGATTTGCCTTTTGGAGGAATGAATATTATTTTTGCTGGTGACTTTGCTCAATTGCCTCCAGTTGGTGGACAATCTTTGTTTAGTGAATATGTTGGAACTCAGATACATTCTGGACTAACACCAGATCATCAGAAGGCTGCTATTGGAAAGGCTCTATGGCATCAGGTTACTACTATAGTAATACTTTGACAGAATATGAAACAGACTAGTCAAACTCCACAAGATGCAGCTTTGTGAACTGCCTTAATTAATATGCAATATGGTAAATGTACACCAGCTGATATTGCATTTCTGAGAACTCTACAGGCTGGAAAGCAACTAGGACAGCCCAAAGTATCTGCCAAAGAATTCAGAAATGTTGCTGTTATATGTGGTCGTCATACAGAGAAGGATCAGATCAATCAACTCGGATGTCAGAGATTTGCAGAAGAGACTGGCCAAAGACTTACACATTTCTATTCAATTGACAAGTGGGGCAAGGAGAAAGATCCAAGTACAAAGACCAAGTGGGGTCAGTCAAAAGCTGCTTCCAAGTCTAAACACATTTCTAATGAGATTGATCCAGATATGCAGCAAAATATATGGAAACTTAGACCTGGAGTTACAGATAACTTTGCTGGCAAATTATCTTTATGTCTTGGCATGCCTGTTATGATTAGAAATAATGATGCAACTGAACTCTGTATTACCAAAGGTCAAGAAGGCTTTGTAGCTGGGTGGCAAGCAGAGAAAGGACCCCATGGCAAGCAAGTTCTTGATACACTTTTTGTAAAATTGGATAAACCTGCAAAAACTATTCAACTTCCAGGACTTCCTGAAAATGTAGTACCATTAATGAGGGCTACTAAAACTATTCCTTGTAAATTCCCAAGTGATATTATTGAGAGTATTGAGCGTCAGCAAGTACAAGTTTTGCCCAACTTTGCAATGACTGACTATGCAAGTCAAGGAAAAACTCGACCATATAATGTTGTTCATCTTGGAAGCTGCTATTCACACATGTCATACTACACCTGTCTGTCAAGGAGTGCTACTGCTGCTGGAACTATCATTCTTCAAGGATTTATGCCCAAGTTTATTACTCAAGGTTGTTCAGGATATCTCAGACAGGAATTCTGTGAGCATGAAGTACTTGATGAAGTGACTAGACTCAGATATGAAGGTCTTCTGCCAGCTTATATTCAAGGCTATACTCGCAATACAATTATTGGACAATTCCAAAGATGGAAAGGAGCTAACTATGTTCCAGATAAAGTCGATTCAGCTCTTCAATGGTCTGATCAGGATCCTCTTGATATGCCAGTTGTAACTGATAGTCCTTGGACTTTAATTGACAAGTCAACAAAATTAAAGTTGCTTTGGACAATTCCTGTAACTAATTTTGTACCTGCAAAAGAGAGTACTGCTTTGAAGCATAAAGCCAGTGAGAGTAATATTTCTAAGCCAAAGAAATCCAGACAAATTATTGAAGAAAATAGTGACTCACCTCAAGGATTTATCTGGGATAATCAAGATTATAGCTGTCCATATGATGGTTTATTTAGCATTCTCTATAATCTCTGGCTTGAAAATTCTGATGAATGGACTGAGAAATTATCAAGCATTAATGACTATACAAAGCTACTTATAGAAGGCTTTCAAGATGTTGTTCATAGTAGTTCTACTCTAGAAGAGGCCAGAGACAGAGTACGAGAAGTGTTGTATCTTGTAAAGCCAGATAAATTTCCAAAGGGTAGAAATAATGCAAGTGTAGCTGAACTTGCCTTTGAATTATTTAAGACTGATAGTGAAGATGCACAAGTAGAAAAATTCTGTAATAATTGTGACTATACTAGACTCTTTTCTGATACTATTGGATATGCTGCCAATCTTGAAGGATATCAAGTCTCATCAACTCAACATTGGATTTCAGATATGAAAGAAAGTTGTCAAGAGACTTGTCCTGAGTGTAGTGAGACTTTGATATACCAGAAAACTTATACTAAGATACCAAAAATATTAGTTCTTGAGTATCCATTCTGTAATATTAGGACAAGTCATAAGATAAAAATCAAAGTTAATAGAAAGGCACATGTACTAAAATTAAAGGGAATGGTTTATCATGGTGATAATCATTTTGTGTCAAGAATTGTAGGCAATGATGGAACAATCTGGTTTAATGATGGCATGACTACTGGTAGACAATGTACAGAAGATGGGCACTTGACAACTATTACTGATACATCAGTTAGAACATATAATGATAAGAATTTTGTATTAGCAGTCTATGCTTAATTCAATAGCTATAATGGGTGGTGGGTGGGCATAATTTCATAGAATATTTCTGTAACTAATTACTTGCTATACAAAATTAATCTATATCAATATTAATTATATTTCAGCTAAAGCTACAAGAAGAAAGAAGGCCTCATACATGCCATGTGTAGCAATGGCCCACTCAAACAAGTTTTCTGCATCAGCTGGAGAAGGGTAGACACCCCTCTACCTGTTTCACAGCTCAATCACAAGTCTCTCTTTCCTTCTTTTTCCATTTTCAATTTTTATTTTATTTCTAATTTCCACACCACAAGCACCAGTATTGGGCCATCTTTGAAGATTTGTCCTGTGTCACATCTAGTCTGGCCACCTGTGACATTCTGCCTATCCACCATTTTTGGATTTTCCAGCCATTCTGGCTGGTGGACATGGCCAAAATCCAGCCTCAGTCCCTTGTCACATCAAATTTGGCCAGTGTCCAAACTTTGTCCACTATGGACACTGGATCACATCACACCCCCAGCTGTTAGATTACGAGTCCTACAAAGTAGATTGACTCATTACTTATACCCTGGATCCAGTCACAAAAATTTGCTCATGAGAATTGTAGTGATCTACCCACAGCTGCTGATTGGCTTGGCCAGTCACATCATGGTCCTGGATAAGATAAGATTGGCTGTGAGATGAACCTGGCTGCTTTTCTCACTGAGATCCTCATGCTATTGTGGTTCTTCTTCATCTGTTCGCTGTTTGCTACCTCGCTTTGCCTTTGCTGCTACCACACTGCTCAGCTTGTCTTGAAGATAGTGCTATACATGCACTGCTCACTACTGCAGGAAGAAGTCTGAGGTCAATACACAAGGGCAGGTACTCAACTCAAATGGCATAGACACTGGACAGGCCAGCTTTGGAGTGCAACATTATTGGAGGTGACTTCCACTTCTTTGCTGGGAGTGAGAATGACCTGACCCAGGTGGTGAGGCAGTACACTGAGGTTGCCAGTCTTCCAGCAGAAGTTCTGCAAAGTCACCACTGACTTTCAAGACCTCCTTTGACAATTATGTAACCCGTTCAACCTTCAAACCTTGGAAGTCATCATCCGACAGTTCCCTTTTGCACTGCCAGTTACAGAAGAGCTCACAATGATTCCCTGGGGCAAATTAGTATATTTTTGAAAGAACAGACAGTCAGTCCACAAAACCCTTGACAGCATACTCACATCCTATGAGGCTTACTGAAAGCAAAGGGAATCAGGGCCAAGAAGATTGCCTTACTGCCCTGGGACCTGATGATATGTCAACAGTCAATGTCTACTCTGCACACCCACCTCTCTTCAACACTCGACCCAGGCCTCATCTTCTTACCAGTCACCTACAAGTAGGAGGGGGGTACGACAACCTCCAAATGTCTTCATCTACTCCTGCAACATTGCTGGGAGGTGAGGAAAGGGCAGAAAAGCACATGCTACTAACTGACATTTGCAGTCAAAGCCTTTGTTGTGTGCATTCAACTGCATAAGTAAGGTGGTTTTTTTTTTTTTTGATCAACAATTTATAGAGCAGTGCTCAATGGCAGCCTGCTCACTATCTACAAACATGTATGCTACACAGCCCAGTTTTGGGGGCCACGCAGCGCACATGCATATGAGATAAAACAGCACCACCCGGGAGGTGGCAGGGTGTCTTGAGGCTGACAAGCCAGAGAAGCGCCTGCCTGAAACCAGACGCAGAAAGTTAGCAGTGCTGCAGTCAATCGAAATGGAAAGACTGCCTGCACAAAAGAATTGTTGCAGGCGCAGGTCTCCAAACCCTAAGGTTTGAGGGTGTCAATTCACTGACAAATCCCCCAAAAGGAGGAATAACCCCACCTGCAGCAATTATCCGACCCCTGAAGGGTCCTGGTTGAAGCCAAACACTGTGGGGTTGTGCTTCATAAATGATGCAATATCCCCGAGGAAACGGGGATAGTGTACAGAATATCTATCGTGACAGCGAAAGAGGACGTGCTGGCGAGACTGCAAAGCAGCCCTGCAAGTGCAGCCATGGGGCTCATTGATCTTGAAGCGACGGTAGTACGCTCCAATGGGCGCATGGCCAGTTATACACTGGCAGACACGAGCAAACTCAGTAATACTGTGTCCGAATGTTGAGAGCCAAGGTCCCCCATTGAGATACAATGGTTGGATCGGCCACCTGTCAGGCCGTTGAAGCTCCAGGAATTCAGAGCCTCAGTAAGTCAGATCCTGGAAAGTGGAACTCCACAAATCCAGGACTGAGTGCGCGGCTTGAGAGCATAGCATGTCTATAGAATTGTCCGTCTTGCAATGTCCAACCCTGACTTTAAGCTCGGTGATGTACTTGTGTGCCTCACCATGAATGTCCCACCGCAAAGCTGATGGAATGTAAATCAAGGTGATGCGGCAGAGATCATCTGTCTCGAACCACTCCTGGAGAGCGCAACAGACTGACAGACTAAAAGCCTGACCAGAGTGTACAGAGGGGTCCACTGCTCTGTGGGCTGAGCCCATGGAGTCAGTAAAGACCATGATATGTTGGCAGTTTGCCTGCTTGACAGCAAGGTGCACTGCGCACGCAATGGCATTGAGCTCCACATCAGGGGCGGTAACTCTGCCTGAGACATAGCAAGTCCTTTTGAGCTCGCAATGACCCTTGTAGATGATGGCAGCCGAGGCCGCCTGATACTGGTTGGACCGAGGGACAGAGCCATTGGCTGCAGCCAGTACTGTTAAAGGGTTGGCCCTCACTTTTGCGACGAGCTCGTTGAGATATGGGCGCCTATCCTGGGTAGGATCACGCTCATCAAAATGGAGATGGTCCGCAAAGTGGTCCAGTAACCGATCACCAGGGAAAGCTTTGGGCACAAAGGGCTTGAAGCTCTCAGTTAAGGTGTGGACACGCTCATCCACCTCCATGACGGTGCTCTTGACTTTCCCTCACATAGCTGGGGTCATCAAGGCGGCTGAGTGGGCGTGTGGTTTGGCCCGCTTGAGGAGTCTCTCGTCCATCATGGAGCAAAGAGGGTGGTGACGTGGTACACTGCGCACATTGCCAACTTCTTCAGCACAAGGTGGATGGGGATGAGACCTGCCAAAGCCTCAAGACCGCCTGTAGGTGAGGTGCGGAAGGCACCCATGATCCATAGAGCAGCTTTTTGCTGCATCCGTTTAAGCTGGTTCATGGTGCCCTTGTTGCGGGCACCATCAAAGTACCAGAGATGATAACCGTACATGGCAATAGAGACCACGCATGATCTATACAAGAGGTGTCGCTGCTTAGGTGAAAGACCCCTGGTAGAGTTTCCAAGCATGCACATGGCCTGCACAGTGGTGAATGCCTTGGTGGCGTAATAGCAAACATGCTTGTGAAAAGTGAGCCCGCAGTCGAAGTAGAAGCCCAAGTACCTCCAATAGGTCTTGGGCTTCAAAGGTGTGGTGCCTGTATGTGGAGCATACCCCAAATCCAGTGAGGGATTATATGTGTTGCATCGATGAGAAAAGTGAAACAGCTCGGTCTTGTCATGTTCAAGAACGAGTGCAAATGCAATGAATAAAAGGTAGATAATTTTATAGGCCTTATGCAGGCCCACATTATTATCATTGAGTTGTTTGGACTGGGCCAGAATGGTCCCATCATCAACAAAGGAGAGTAGTGTTGTGTTGAGTGGCGCCGCTTTGATATAGAAGAGCTTCATCACCAGAGCAATGAAGAGCCCTGAGATAACAGGTGAGAGGGCTGAGCCCTGCCCGACACCCATGTCCGCAGACCACAAGTTGGATTGGAAGGTGTTCCAACAGTAGACTGTGGAGCGCCCAACAAGGTAAGAAGCAAAGAACTCCACCAATATTGGCAAAAACCCTTGCTTGCAAAGGGCAGCCATGAACATTTCATGGTTGATAGAAGGGAAGAACTGTGTGATGTCAAAAGCCAGCGCACTAGTCTGGAGACCCTTGACCCACCCCGCTCGCACGAGATGAGTCAGAATCAATCCAGCATCCTCAGTTGACCTCTGGCGAATACCGCCAAGTTGGTTTGGATGAAAGATATCATGTTTGACAGTGTCAAACTGTATCCTGTTGGCAATCATCTTTTCGATAAGTTTACCAAAAGTGATGAGGAGTATGATCAGCCTGAAAGCCTTCGGCACTGCATAGGAGGGCTTGTTCGGCTTCGGTACGATAACCAACAGCGACTCCTTGAATATACATGGCCAGTGCCCCACCCTAAGGCAAGCATTGGCCAACATGATGAAGAGTGCAAGGACGTGTTTGTCCTTCCATGATGCCTACCTGACGTAACATGGTCTGGTCCTGGTGCAGAGGAGTTGGAACACCCCTTAAGAGCACTCAACGACTCATGCTCCGAAAAGTCAGCCCACTCACGGACCGGCTCGTCAGGAAGCTCGTCTAAGACTGAGGCGTCATACTTGCAACCAGAGGCCAAGTTGTATGTGCCATGAAGGGCATCCCAAAGGTCATCCATATCATGGCAAGGCTGGTCGCCATTGCAAATAGCCTCACAGGGTGGTAGCTTGTGCTGTTTGACCCATTCCATCAGGTCCCACAGGCGCTTGCGAGAAGTAGCGATTTCTGCAATCATAAGTAAGGTGGTGAATTGTCCAGGCAAAGGTGTTCTATAACTCATTGGTGTGGGTGGTTCAAAATAATCCAATAATACATATTCCATGTCTGCGCAGCATCTTGGTCATGCAAGAGAAGGATCCAGGAATTGATTCACATGAGGACAATGCAGGAAACCTCAACACAACAAAGCCTCATCTGGACAAATCCTGTTAGATGATGTTGGGTCGGTCTGAATGTATAGGAACTTGGAATAGAATCCTGAGGGGAGGGGGACACCACTGACAATTTGAGGTGCTGAAATCTCACATTTGTCATCTTCAAGCATTAGCGAGGACATCTAGAGGACAAAATTAATTAAATATGATGAGGGCTCATGACTCTAAGTCAGACATCAAGCAATTGGTGTGTTTGTAGGGCCACAAGGAGTGACCAAAGGTCAGTGATGAGTGGCCCCCAGACAACTTCTGTGTAGTTGTAACTGCCTATGGCCAACAGTGAGCTAAGAACTCCCAATATGTCTGACCCAAGTGTGTATGACCAGATATATAGGGTAAACTGACTACACAACATAGGGTACATGATGTGAGGTGGAAGTAAAAAGCTAAGGACCTATGTGAACTAACTACCCTAGTTAAATATAGGAATGGCCTGTTACATACCCCTGCTTGAGATTGGATCCAAGGGACCAATCTAAACAGAAAGAGTGATTGGGGGGAGAAAGAGAGAAATAATAAAAAAATGTGACTATCACTAATTAAAGAGACCATCAAAAGAATGAAAAGATACCTCTACCAACAAATCTCCTCCACAATCATGACAAGACTATCCGGGATCAGAAATGTGAGGCATATACTTGTGGCTGCCAAAAGTAACTGTGATTATGTAATCATGTGCTCCAGTCAAAGGCGGGGCATCCCAAAGATGTGAAGCACGCTTCAATTCAGGTGTTTGAATCACCTTGAGAAAATGCATAATAGATTAGTCCTGTTCAGTATCTATGTATTCTACACATTAAAATGGTATGTGGCCACCCCGTGCTTCCAGGAGAGCTGCTATTTGGTTAGGCATCTCAGAAATGTGTTTATTGATGCACTCGATTGGTATCTGCTCCCAGGCTTCGATAACAGCCAAACAGAGTTCTTCTACAGATGTAGGATGATGTGGTCTTCTTTGTATAATTTGCTTGAGTTCATGCCAAATAGGCTCGATTGGGAAGAGGTCTGGAGAGTTGGGAGGGTGATAGAGCTGTGTGATGCCGTGATGAGTGAGCCATTGTTTTGTTAGTTTGCTGGTATGTGCTGGTGCATTGTCCTGCTGGAAAATTACCTGGCCTCTCTCGGTCCTCATCTCTCTATAGAAGCCCCTCAGAGCCCCCTCCAGCACTTGCTCGCAATGCCAGGCAGTGTTCATTCCTCCACCTTTGCCTCCTGGGTACTCCAACACAACAAGCGGCCCTTTTTGACCCTCCATTATGCAACCCCACACCATTGCTCTCACTGGCAACTGCTTAAAGGTCACAACAAGGCATTCATTGAGGTATTTTTCATCTGTGCACTGTGTGATGTAAACGCGTACATGATTGTCGCTGAGATTACGAGTTCTTACATTAGTAAGACTCGTTCTTTCAACCTGGGTCGCAGAGATCATTTTACTTTCCCACGTTACGGTCATCCATGCTTTTTTTCCCACAGTAAGTATTACATTGATGGCATAGCTACATTTTCAATAGTTCACTACATTTTTACTGGCTATTGTAGTAATGCTCTTCTTGACCTCTGCAAAATCAAAATCACCAACCTCCCTTGCTCACTGCAGCCCTCTTTTGCCCTTCCAACCTAACCCCTAGCACCATCCAACAACAAGCCCTGGTGCCCAAATGATCCTGGACTTCACAGTTCAGCACCATTCACGCTTGTTCAGCCACCGCTGCCTGCCCCTTTCACCCCATGACCACCTGCTTGCCCTCCTCATCCTCTGCCTCTTGCCCCTCCCAACTGGCCTCAAAAACAAAGAACGATGGCAAACCAACGTGCCCCTTCTTGCCCTTCCCCCTTGCTCTCAACTTCCACTACCACCACCCCCTCTTCTTGCCCCATCCCAACAGCCTTCAAGGACGCCGAATGATGCTGAACACAGAGGTTGGGTGATGTTCACACTCGTTCTGTGTCCTGCCTGCCTGCCCACCCAGCACTGCCTGCCTCTCACCTTCCACCCAGCACTGCCTGCCTCTCACCTTCCACCCCCACCACCACCGCTTCTCACCCTTCCAACACCCCTAGCCTGCACAAACAGCCACCCAGGACGATGAACAATGCCAAACTTGGACATTCAGCAGCATTCGCAGTTGTTCTGTGCTCTACCCACCTCTTCTTGCCCTTCCCCCCTCCCTCTCATCTTCTGCCACCACCAGCCCGCTCTTCTTGCCCCTCTGACACCCCTTGCCCATCCAAATGGCCCCCAAAGAGCCCTGATGACAGCAAACAATGCCAAAGCTCTCATCCTCTAAAAAAGTTCACTTTCAGAACATCATGAAATAGAATAGATATATATTGAGAATAATTATGTGAAATACATGTTCCAGGAAGCAAAGGCCAAGTCATGAGTATGAATGAGAGAACACCATTGTTGAGTCACAGAGGTGGTTGTTGTTGACTTGTGGAGGCTGTCATCAAGTTGCACAACATGACAATGAACTGGTGGGGTGGAGTAAGTAATAGAAGGAGGGATTAGGGTTGGTGAAACACTATGCTGGGTCTCCCACTGCTCAGGTCTCCCTGGTGGTCCTTCTCTCTATCCAGCTCTTCCATAACCCTCATTGGAGGGCATGGCCATGGAGATGTTGGACCTGACATTGATCTGTGGAGGCGGTCATTGAGTTGTTGGAGCTGATATTGAGTTGTGGGGGACTGACATTGAGCCATGAGAGAGCAGCTTCCAGTTACTGTGGCTGATGTTGAATCAGCAGGCCAGCATCAAGACATGGGGCCTATGATCAACTTGTGTGATGCAACAGAGAACTAGCAGGTGAGTAAGGAAGAGTGGAAGAAGAGGTAGCCAGTCACTCACTGCATTGGGCATTCAGTCTCCCGCTACTCGGGTCTCCAGTTACTCGGGTCTCCCTTTGTTTTCCTCCTCCTCCATTCAGCCCTTCAAAATGTGCCCTGACCCTCATTGGAAGGCACAGGTGCATGGTGTAGATATCTATAGTAGAAGAGGGAGAGGAGGAATGGTGATAGTAGCAGCAGAAGAAAGAAAGCGATGATGTAGCATGCGATTATGGCCAGCACAAGTCACCTGATCACTTACCTCTATAGGAATGTTACTGTCTACAAATGACATAGTATTCACATACTCTACATTATATTTATGGGTACTGTATTTTTCTCCTGTATTTTACATTAATTACACAAGTTATTTCATGAGAATTGAATAAGAATTGACAGAGATATGGAATTTGCAAGATGAGGCGAGTGGCTGGGGTGGCTTTGTTTGTTTAGCCAAACATATGATGCACAAAAACTCCTGGAGAGTTTTTGTGTGTCATAGCTGTCAAACTCTGCTCACATGACCTAGCAAGTCACATGTCCTTCTACTACAGAAACAGAGGACCTCCGATTATCCCGAGAAAGGTTGGATATGAAATCAGCAGTTTGAGTGGGTTTACAGGTTTACATGAAATCTTCCTTTTTGGGGTGAATTCCGAGTTGAGGCCGATCTAACCTCCAAATTTTCCCCTGAACGGGTTGACAATTGCATCCGACCTCTAAAGATAGAATAGAATTCGTAAAAAATATGTAAAAAATCCAAAACGCTCTATTTCGACTGGATTGCGTGCTCAGTTCCTTCTCACATCTCTTTGTCATTGTCACCGCCTGCTTTCTTCCAAGTCACCAGCAGCCGCTTCACAGCAACGACTATCTGTGCCTGTTGTGCCACCAGCTTCACATATACATCATCAAAGAACTTTTGTTGAAGCTCGAGGATTGCACCATCGTTGATCTCTCTCACACATGTCGATGGGACATATATCAAGAACGCTGCCACTGGAAGATGTGCATACCGAGGTAGCCCCAGTGGAAGAGTTGGCCCCCATCCAGATCGGAAGCTGCAAAGGCGGTTGTGTTGCCATACATGCATGGGAAGGTACAAGAGCGAGCCAATTGAATCTGCTGCTGATACCCAGCTATGCCTTGCAGTTTTCCCACCTCCTCATTCATATAGTGTTATAACTATGGAAGTAATTGTTATCAGACACGATGGATAAGACCTCCCTCATTTATCACGTACCATGACCGATCATGAGCTGACCATTGACAAGGATGATCCCGTAGGTCCCAGTGGTGATCTTTGACAACATATCGACCTTTGCAGTTGTGAGATCGGTACACAATGGGAGGTTTGAGAATGCTTTCTTCCGTCTTGCGATGATCTGGCATGTTGGGTAAGTGAAATATTCTTTGTACTGTTTTCGGACACCTACTGAACTGCTTCCTGCTCTTGCAGCAAGTTGTGCATTTGCAGAATTCCCAGCAAGACCAGTTCCAACAGTGGATAGGGATCCAGCGGCCAGTTTCTCATATTGTACTTGCCTATTGAGCCCAGTACTTGACCCCTGCTCGGACTCCATTCTGAGCACATCATATATCTTTCCTGCAAGGAGCTGGCGTTCGGTCGGTTCTTTTGCAGTGGTGGAAGGTGAGGTCCCTTTCACTGTTGACCTATAATTTCTGACACCTTCTGCAGACTCACGGCTCTGGTTTTTTAAGCGTGTTGCTACAAGCTGCGAAAGGTCATTGAGTAACACAGGTGTTGCATTATTGAGTAACACCGGTGCAGCCTTGTTGATCATCGGCAACCCAGTGGTGCTGACAGAATTTAGAAGTTCTTTGACAGCTGCCTGGCCTGCCCCTCCTTGCGATGCAATCACCTGCAACACATTTGAGAGTGCATCTCAGATCTCAGCAAGGGCATTAGGGTCATCGTCTGGAAGATTATTGCTGTTCAGGGAGGATAGTAAGTCGCAAAATTTGTAAGGGTGTTTATAAAGACTTACATAGCTTCTAAATCTGCAAAATTCAATACTGCAGCTGCATACCCACACTGGTCAAGTAGTTCATCAGTTTTATAGGAGGGGAGTTCTTGTTCTTGTGCTACTGTGGCCACGTCAAGTGCTTCTTGAAGTTGTTGCCGATCGCTAGGTGGGGTGTCACTCTCCTCTTCAACCTCGCTTTCATCATCTGATAGATCCTCATCAACGATGTTGGCTTTCTGAGTGGTTAGTTTGCTGGTTCCAGAAAGGCTGGTGGTTGGAGATGATGGATAGTAGCCCACCAGTTCCCAAAGCATGAGAGCTTCATCATAGGCTGCTTTTGCCATTGTGGCAAGCTCTGCGTCAGTTGGGAAGATCAACAGAAAATGGAGATTGATGTCGTTGGCATCAGAATATGTGTGTGAGTAGCCTGCCGCAGACTTTTTCAGGTTTCCTTTTGTACTTATCCTTTTGCATGCAGCCATGAGGCATACACGCAACTTGGGAATGAGATGCAAGACATCCAGCATTGTGAAGTCAGCTATGAGATCGCGCAAGAAACCGAAGATGTGTTCATTGGACTCTGAGCTGTGGGGCCAGGGAAGGAGCAGGAATTGTTTCTTGAGTACATCGCGATGTATATAAATTAAACCCAGGAGGCCATTGACCATAATGTCAATGATGTCATCAGCCTCGCAACTGAGGAAGTGACGTGATGTTGTGTAACCAGCTGTTTTCAAGAAATCTTTCCAAATCTCTTTGAAGAATTTGGCACAAAAGACAATATGGGCGTGCTCAATGTGTGCAAGCTTTCAACTCTGATAGGCATCAATGAGCTCGCCGAAGACAAACAGGAAGACAATAAGCCCTAGGTTGTCAGAGTTCCTGTCAACGAGGAACTCTAGTGTTGAAGCTGAGAAGAGTCGTGCTGCAGCATGATCATCCTGTCGATCAAGCTTCTCAACGTCTCAACGATACAGTGGGGTGCCTTCAGCAAAGGAAATGTTCTGCACATCCTGGTAGCAGATGAGGAAACAACCGAGAATGAGACTATGGGCTCCTGATAGCAAGCCATTCCTTTCTGTTTTGCGACAGTGCTTTGAATCTTGAATTACAGTCATAACGTGACCACCAATTTGGAGAAGCTCTACATGAAATGCTGACCCATCAGCTGGATGTGGGATCTGATAGTTCATAGTTGTGGCAAACCCAGAGCGCACAAGTTTGCGACGAGCTTCACGCTCGACACTTGTCCCATCAGACCCAAGAGAGATAATGTTTAGTTTGAGTTCCGGTGAGATAACCAACTTGAGTAGCTTCTCCTCCATGGTGGCAAGCTCTTTTGCATTTGTTTTCAAGGCAATTGGAGATGCGGCAAGAACGAGGGGTGGAACATGAGGAAGTGGAATTGAGAGGGTCCAGAGCTGAAGCTTTGTTGCCTTGGTTGAACTTGCTTGTCGAATATCAGATTGAAGGTGATCAATGTCGGCGACCTCCATTGGTCCCTCAGTGCCGCCAACCATGAACCATTTCTTCTTTTTGTTATCAAAATACAGCCAGAATGCAAGGAGCTTTGTGTCATCGACAGCAGTTGCCAGAGGACCATCCAGCAGATATGCATAGTCTTTGAGGTAATCAGAAGCATGGGTAATGACCTGCGAATCAATCCCTTGCATGAATGCTGGCTTAAGGGATCTAAGCTTGAGGAAGCTGTGCTCAGAACGTCCTCCAAACATTGATTGAAAGGATCTGTAAGCCTCTGGGTGTATGCAAAGAAGCTCATGGCACCACTCATTGAATGCAGGAGGGTATTTCATGTTCTGCAACCCTCCCTCTCTGCACGATCAAGTGTAACCTCAATTAACCCTCAAAAGACTGAGTCGCCATCAAATTTGCCTTCAGCAAACTTTCAAGCAAAACGGATGAAAAGATTTGTGTTGGCAGTATCCTGGAAACGAAATACTGTCATTCTCAGACCAGTATGAAGTACAGAAATTACTTACTTCAGATAAGAGTTCACATAGACCTTTATTCTTTGCATAAATTTGACCAACTGTTGCATTCTGATGGCAAAGTGGGACAAAAGTGCGATTTTTGTCCTTTGGGATGGGCTTGTTGATGATGGTCAAGAATGCTGGGAGGCGAAGTAGTTGATAGCAAGCCTCACATGGCTCAAGCTTTTCTGGATGTTCATGTGGACTTGGGACATTGCCCTGACAAGGATTCTCTCCGATTGCAATGACACGGTTGCGAGAATGATCAACGAGCCATCTATGGGTCCGAGCCTGAGATAATGAAATTATCTCTCTCTGAGACGAGTTGAGTGAGGAAAGCTTCTTTCCGAACATTGTGCTTGCAATCTTGTGTTCTGATGTTCCACCAGCTGAGATAGAAGATGAACGGAGGAGGTAATTAGCAATACGGGGATCATCTGCCTCCGTCACTCCAGGGCATGGCCAAAGCTTGATTGCTTTCTGAGTTGGAGGATTCTGGGAGATGTCAACACCACACCATGTCACCTTGAAGCCATGCCAGGCATTTAAGGTATGCATTCCTGCAGCTAAAGGAAGTGTTTTACTCCTCATGCATGCATTGCGGTGCTCCTTGAAGCAGGTAACATTGTAGACAGCTCCCATAGTAATGTAAGACCCACAGTCTGAGTGGCAAACAATGCGCGCTCGCATTGGGTCCACGTCATCGACTTCATACTCTTGATCAAGGATTTTAAGCCTGGCTTTATAAGTGGCCCATTTCTTAGGATCGCAGACAAAGGTCCCATTCTTTACTGCCTTGTTAAGTTCAGCCTTTTTAGCAGCCTGGCGGCTCACAGCTTTCCCTTTACAATTCTGTGAGGAAGTTGTTGGCTTGGGTCCCTTGAACAGACTCATACTTCTTTGATTTTTCAGAAGTCTTTGCCAGCTGATCAGGTTTCGGTCGAACACACTGCCTCTTGATGAGGGGTCCAGCTGATAACTCCAGGGTAGAATCGATGATAATTGAGGCTTGCCACTTCAAGATATTACTTGATTTATTGGAACCAGTCGACAGATCAGCAACTACAAGAGGAGCAAGGATGGCCTGAGTTGCTGTTGCTGGAGGTGCATGAGAGGGACTCTCTAGCTGATTGCCAAGTGCAGAAGATACAACATCGACGTCTGATGAAATGTCCCTGGCCACCACTGGTGCTGTGGGTGGAGCCTGCTCAAGAATTTCAAAATCAGACTCAGCACCGCTGTCCTCCAGATATAGCTTGAAGGGCAGAAAATGGTGAGCGGAGCCTGGAAATTTGTCTTCTTGTTTCTACATCCAAGAAAATAAATAAGAATCATGATAAATAAAGCACTCAATGTGAGAGACATACAAGATATTGCAAATGGTGTTCCATAACAGCAAGAAACTCCTTGATGCAAAGGTTTTCCCAAGTCTTCTCAGACCATAGCTTATCACCAAAGATATGATGCCTCAAGGTATTATATTGATGCCTACAGATAAGATCTTGCGCAAAAGTGATGCAGTAATTTGGAAAGTTGTGTGCAGCCCATTTCTTAAGCCCCTGAATCATCTTCTTTGGTTGCAGGTGCTTTATGGAGTCTCCCCAATTAATGTGGAGAGAAGTGGGTGTCTTCTGAATTGTGAGAGCACCAAAATGCTGTGGGTCCAAATACACAACAGTCCAAAGAGTCGTTGATGGACCCTTATGTTGAAGAAGCAAGGACACAGTATTCGGTAGAATAGTTGTGCAATGGTTAGGATAGGGAGTTGTATATGCTGGGATTCCTGTAAGGCTTTGCCCAAACTCAGTGGGGACAATAAGGTCAGGCTTGGATTTGTCAACCTGGTGGGCTTCAAGAACACAGAGCATGGTGTCAACATGGGACTCGGTGAGCATTTCTGAGGAGAGAAACAAGGCCATATCTGTAATAGAAACAAGAGATCCGAGAGAGTGGATCATTCCTTTCCATGGGATCTGAGCAAGAACTAATTTGAGACGTTCATCAAGGTTCCAAGATAGCTGCTTCTTAGGAACCCTTTCTATCCAGTCATGAGAACGTCTCCAGAATGATTGAGCAGCTGAAATGTCAATCATGTGTTGCCAGAAGGTAATTGAACTGAATGGAAGGTGAACCCCCCGTTGTGTCCAATCTTGAATGGATTTATGACCGTCAAGCATTGCCTGCCCTGCATGGCTTCAAAGTTGTCTGAGAAATTCCACCAAGGGAATACTCTGATGTAGAATGGTGGAAAATGATGTATTAGGCTCTCCAGGACAGAATACAGAAGCTGGAGAGACAAGCTGGAGCTTCTGCATCTGATTTGAACATGAGAAGGAGAGCAATGCCACGACAGAGATGTCAGGGCTCGGTAACAAGGCTAATGCTTCAGAAGGAAGTGTAAGCCAGTTCAGAAGCTCATCTGAAATGTGCTTGGGCACATCCTTGTATTTTTTCCCAGTGGAGATCCAGCCTGTGAGACTGGTTGGCTCTTGAGATGAAGGCAGGGAGTTATTCCCAGCTTGCATAGTGACAAGGAAAATGAGGAGGATGAGGAGACAGAAGAGAGGAGGTTTAAACTCAAGAAAATAGTGCAAATATATTCTAAAGCCACAGTGTAAGCCACCTACAAACAATGTGTAGACCGATGTTGGGCCACACATTGTCAAAAAATACCATACGAGGAAAACCCATCAGTGATTGCCTGCTGCCAAGGCTGTCATGGCATGGGTGGCTCCCAGGCCTGCCAGGTGGACAATATCCGACCTGGCCTGGACCGCGGCGTGGCAGGTTGACAAGTGTATCTGACCTGAGGCCTCTCAAAAGGGCACTGGCGGGTTGACACCTGCAAAACCGTATCCGAGCTCCGCGGCCTACAGCTGCGATTCCGGGTTGACATGGATCCAACCTATCTTGGGATAATCAGAGGTCCTAGAAACAGTCTCTCTATATCTCTGCAATGGCTGCAGCTACAGCTCTGAAATTTCATACACCATGAGGCGATGTTCAGAGAAGCTTACATAAGAGATTTCAGATCTTCAGGGGTGCTGTGGCATGAGATATTGCATGTTTTAAATGCAGAAAACCCGCACCTCCATATCTCAACACCTACTAATGCTACAGGTCTATAATTTTGAGGCCAACATCACCTATATTATATCTACCTGCTTACAAATTTTCAGGTCTGTTGATTGTCTTGATGCCAAGATATTGTGATATATGCATTGTTTTAAATGCAAAAAACCCGCACCTCTATATCTCAACAGCTACAGATGCTACAAGTCTATAAATTTGAGGCTGTTATCACCCAAATTATATCTACTAGTGTACCACTTTTGAGCTCCATTGATGGTTTGGGTGCCAAGATATTGCGATATGCACATTGTTTTAGTGCAAAAAACCTGCACCCCTATATCTCAACACCTACTGATGCTACAGGTCTATAAATTTGAGGCTATTATCAATCATATTAGATATATATCTGTACCAACTTTCAGATCTGACAATAGTCCAAGTGCCAAGATATCAATATGCGCATTTTTGGGTTTTTTGGTGCAAACCAGTAATTTAAATATGCAGCCATGAATAATCAATGTGCATCTATGAACTCTACATTTGCTAAAGACCTTCTGTATCCTACATAATGCTGCCAAGGTGTTCCAGTGCTCTGGTCCTTGCCAGGGGTAGAGATTTGAGTGCACATTTTCAGCTATGTTTAGAAATCAGCACTATTTAGTCAATTGTGCATACAATTCTGTGCATGATACTGATATTTTGGAGCCAATATAACTGAACATTATGACTCCTCATTAATGCAGATTTGTTTTAGCTAGGGGATGTCTGGGAGAGAGGCCAGTGAAGCCACATTTTCATATTTTTAGGGGTGTGCAGCATTAATTTGACTGTAGGTCTACCAAATCTGGGAATTTTCCCATGTTCAAGACCTCTACTGAGAGTTATCAATATTTCATGATTTATGATATTTTTAAATGAAAATTAAAATGGCCCAGAAATAATTGAAATATGCCAGCATTTGTCACAACCATCCCCTGCTCCTGGCTTGATTATGCAACTTCCAAGGCTGTTATCTGGCTTCCAAGGCTCATGGTATTTAGCTGTGCACTTTTCAGATGCTTCTTAGACATCCAGGAATGAGCTCTGAGCTTCCAGAATGCTTCTAACATGTGCCATGTCTCTAGCTCACCCCATTGTGCCTCCAAGCCATTCTATTGTTCTCCATTGTTCTTATGGTCTTGTCTGAGTTATCTATTATGTAATCATAGTATGTTATTCTATTTTTTTTTTTTGATCAACAATTTATATAGCAGTGCTCGATGGCAGCCCGCTCACTATCTACAAACACGTACGCTACATGGCCCAGGTACTAGGTTAACTACTAAAAGACGACTGCCCCCAACCAAGGCCCTTCTGGTGTATACATTGAAACTTCCTGGAGGGCAACCCACCTTGCAAAAATGGTGACAAGGGATAAGGGGAGGAGACCATCGAGGTCCTGCTATGCCCCAAAATCATTGATCGCTGTTTTGGGGCTACACAGCACAAATGAGATAAGAACAGCACCACCCAGGAGGTGGCAAGGTGTCTTGATGCCAACAAGCCAGAGATGCACCTGCCTGAGACCAGACACAGAAAGTTAGCGGTGCCACAACCCACTATGTTAGCAGGCCGCAAGCACGAATGAATGAAGCATGTGCAGGTCTTCGAACCCTAGGGCTCGGTAGTGTCAATTCACCATAAATCTCCTGAAAGGAGGAACAACCTCACCCGCAATGATTACCGGACACCTGAGGGGTCCCAGTTGAAGCCAAACGCCGTAGGGTTGTACTTCAGAAAGGATGCAATATCCCTGAGAAAACGGGGGTAGTGTGTGGAATATTGATCGCAGCAGCAAAAGAGGACGTGCTGGCGGGACTGCAAGGCAGCTCTGCAAGTGCAGCCATGAGGCTCATTGATCTTGAAGCGACGATAGTATGCTCCAATGGGTGTGTGGCCTGTTATGCACTGGCAGAAGTGAGTGAGCTCAGTGATACTGTGTCTGAAGTATGAAAGCCAAGGTCCCCCATTGAGGTACAATGGCTGAATCAGCTGCCCGTCAGGCCGTTGAAGCTCCAAAAACTCGGAGCCCCTATAGGTTGGATCCTGGAAGGTGGAACTCCACGAATCCAGGACTGAGTGTGCGGCTTGGGAGTGTAGTGTGTCTATAGAATTGTCCATCTTGCAACGTCCAACCCTGACTTTAAGCTTGGTGACGTACCTATGTGCCTCACCATGGATATCCTACTGCAGTGCAGATGGAACGTAAACAAAGGTAATGCAGTGGAGATCATCTGCCTCGAACCACTCTTGGAGAGCACAGCAGACCAACAGACTGAAAGCCTGACTGGAATGCACAGAGGGGTCAACTGCTTTATGGGCTGAGCCCATAGAGTCAGTAAAGACCATGATATGAGTATATTATTCTACATGGCATAAATACCCATGTACAGTAGTTGATTCCTCAGTCAGAATATCAAACTTGCCCTATTGCTTACAGTGAGGAAGAATTAATAAAAGAATAAATAGGACAGCTAAAGATATGAGACAAAATGAACTTGTAATTGCCATGCAAAGCAATGGCCCACAATACCAAGTAAATATAGCATTTGTAGGTCCACATGATCTTCCTCCAATGGCAGGGTGTGAAGTCACAATAGAGGTTAGCCCATGTGAGTTGTGCATGCTTATGAGCCTTCTTCAGGTAAGGAACCTTGTGCACTACCTGGCAGAAGTATCCTGTGTTGCGCAGAACCCTTTGAACAGTTGACCCCAAGACTGGTGACAGGAGTTGGTTTCTGATGTTGGCAAAAGGTGTTCTCTGCTCCCTTTGGGCAATGCATATGATATGACGCTCCATGATATCATCAAGTTTGTATGGACATCCTGACCAGGAAAGATTCTCTGTCAAAGCCGTTGTCTTGTACTTTTTCCAGATGCACTGTGCTGCACTGTCATGGATGTGGAAAACCCGGGCCGCTTTGGCAACTGTTGTACCCATGAGCACAGCTCCGATGAACTTGTCTTTGACGGACGGTGGATACTGGCATCGTTCTGTCTTCGGTTCAGGCATGATGAGGGAAGAGCGATGAGGACTACAGAGGAGGTACCTTCAACAAATGATCAGGTCAGATCACATGGGTCATGTTTATTATATAATTGTAGTTACTTTTGTCGCACATGAGTAGGGGCTGCAGTATTGGCTGATGACCAAGGCCTGCTCAAGAATGGAATTTCACTGCTGGGCACATAGGGAAGACCACTGACAGTAATGACCAAGGCCTTCAAGAACATTGCCGCATTGGGAGAGTATCTGACATGTTACAGAAGAGTGACAGGGTTGAGGTTTGAGGTGGTGGTGACATGGGGGTGGTATCACCAGAAATGAGTAAGGAAATGGGCTAACACATTGGGCATAGTGACACCAAAGAAAGGAAAGGCTTGTTGTTGCAAAGCCAAGTGCTTGAAGATGGAGTAAGGTTGAATGAAAGGAAGGGGTTGATGGTTTGATGATAGCAAGGGAATGGCAAGGCATGGCACATCAAGTAAGTGCTCACTGCAATGGTGCAAACAATGGCTTCATGGTGCAAGTCAAATTGTATGAAACAGATCGAAAATGGTTGAGATATCATCCAAGCACAGTGGCCAATAACATCCACACACCTATGAGCAACCACAAACATCAGTAATCTCCTTGCTCTTCAATCCTCCCCCTCCAAGAAAAATCCATGGCTTTTCTTGACTGCAACAGTGACCACCACTCTTGCAGGTGGTCAATTGGGTAAAGCAATGTCAACTGATACCATGGTTTCAGGTGTCACTGGGGCTGATGTCATCCTGAGCCACTATTCTTTCAGGTGGACATTGGGTGGTGCACTAGCCATGGGCCACTACATCTTTCAGCAGTGCTGGTGTCCACAGCCCATCCATGGATCAGATGGGCCAGCATTGAGCTATGCACTTCACCTCATGGCTCATGGCTTGGGTGAGGTGCCACCTTGAGGTGACCATGTCTGCCCAGTGTGCTGGCATCCATGGCCTCCCTATGGGGCCCCTCCCTATATGCCCTCTTCAAATTGAATTCCCAGGTTTTTGAGAGATCTGTCATCCAGGAATCAAGTGGGGCCCACAGGAAGGGACAAGTGAGCACAAGGATGAGTAGAGAGCCAAAGAGTGAAGCAGAGGGTGTTGTGTAGACAGCGTAGCCTATAGAGGCTTACGCAAAAAAGTGTAATGGCCTATGGCTGACAGTGAGCTAAGAACTCCCAATATGTCTGACCCAAGTGCATATGACCAGATATATAGGGTAAACTGGCTACACAACATAGTGTTACGACCTGTGCTGAGCCGAGGTGTGCCGGAGACCAGGTGCGTTCGGGTGTGCTTCAGAAGAGACTTTGGATGCGGACTTTGGCTTCAACGTTCGTGTGTTGCATCCTCGAGATAGTCTAAGTCTGATTTTGGAGTATAGGCTTTAGGCTGGTGTCGGATGTCGAACAGATGCGAGCAGATGAGAACGGATGAGAACGAGAGGAGGAGATTAGAAGTCGAGTATGATATTCAGACTGCCGGACTTGGTCGTCCTGCAGTCCCTTAAATACTACAACGAATAATGGACTACCTATGACAATGAGCCGTTGGCTGTCTAACTTGTGGAGGGAACGTGTACACTAATGACAATAGAATAATGAGGCATGTGTACGCTAGGAAAATCAAAGACAAATAACAAACAAAAGAACAATATAATCAAAGAGCCGAAATGGCTATGAATGGATGTCTCTCAGATGTCTTCGGCACGGGACGGGTCGTGACAGTACCTCCCCCTTAAGGCCGAGCCCCCGAGGCCTTTACTGTGGCTGATGTTTGGTATTGTATATGCCATGTTGAACTTGGCCATTTAGGGTTGTTTGCGTCCGGAAAATTTTCTCTTCCGCTCTACCACCTGGCCCCCAACCCGAACTCCACAATGTCCAGCCCCACCAAAACATCTGAAACCCAGCGCCTACTCGAACAACAGGCCAAAGAGGAGCAAGCAGCCAAAGCGGCACAGCAGGCAGCTAGGCCTACAGCCTACCCAAGCACGGACAAGGAGGATGAAGAAGTGGTCGTGGAGCAAACCAAGCGCAAAGGCAAGGGCAAGGTTGTTGAGTCATCCAGTGAGTGGTTTGTTTTCGGGTGTCGGCAGTGGCTAATGGCTGTGGAGAAGAAGAAGAATGTGGTTCTTTATTGATTTATGAGGATCATTCCGTACATGACCGTAAGGGAACATCCAATCCTCAGGCTATCAGCGGCGTGACCTAAGTAATACCCTAAGTGTCCGTGATCATACCAATTATCGTGACATCCCATAACTATTTACACTAATCAGGGCTTCGATATACCTAAGCATAAGATCGCGTATATTCGCACATAGTAACGCCCTAGCTCCCGAAAGCAGCCATTCATGTGACCGGCATCCAACACAACCTCCCTATGGGTTTGGGTTTGTTCCATCATTCACGTGCCACGTGGTTCTTTGGCGGTCCGTGTTAGGAGACGACTTTAGCCGTTTCGTGTAGTTTCACTCCCACCCTCCAGTACTTTGGTATTAACGCCTCGGGGTCGGCTCTAGCCGTCTCGCTGGTTTGCTTTATGTACTCTGGGAAGTCAGCGCACCGAAACGCCCAGCAGGCTCCAGCAGATCATGTGAACCTTGTCCTGAAGGGTCGGCTCTAGCCATCTCACCGCATAGCGGCAGATCCACACAACCTTGTCCCTTGGCTCCCTATTTCCCTTCCTGGCATAGTCATTTTTTTGATGACTAAGGAGAACCAGGTGACCCTGATATCATTATGTGAGCATGCATAGGTACGGTCACTCCAGACCCTTGGGTCTAGAACACGCGAGACGTAGTCGCTCCCTAATACAGAGGCCCAGACGGTGTCATCCGGGGGCGTGGAAAAGTCACATGGTGTCTAAAGTGTGTTTATCCATGCAACCAGCGAGAATCGAACTCAAGAGCTCAACACAAGCCTGGGGGTAAGTCCGCAATAGTGCCACCTGAGCTACCGCAGCCCTGTGGCTAATGGCTGTCATAGATGAAAGTAGTTCAGAGGGCGAGAGAAGGAAGAAGGGGCAAGGAGAAGGAGAAGGGGCAAGAAGAAGAGGAAGAAGATGATGAAAAGGACGATGAGGAGCCGGGGACGGCTGCGGCCACAAAGGGGAAGACGAAGACGGCACGCAAGGTGAAGTTGCAAGACGAGAGGAACCAGATCCAGGACGAGGGGATCGCGAAGGCAGAGGTGAGCTGGCCCGTGATGCAGGAGCCGTGTGCCCACTGCATTGCGGCTGGCATTCTTTGCCAATGGAACCCGAGTGCCGTGGAGAAGTGGCGTTCGGCCGTCGAGAATGGCAAAGGGACGAAGTGCGCACCACCTGGTGTCTCGTGCCTGGCGTGTATGTGCACCAAGATTACATGCATGCTGCCAGCTATGAAGTGGATGTGTGACCGGCTTGAGAAGAACAATGATGGCAAGAGGAAGCAGGACAATGACGACAAAGGGGACTTCAAGCCAGAGGGAAGGTCAAAGAGGGTGAGGGTGGAAGAGGAGGAAACGCCGTGAGCTGGGCCTAGCCGCGAGCGAACACGTCGGGCAGCAGCTGTTGGGGCAGACCAGGCATGAAGGAGACAGAGGAGGGAGCAGGTCGAAGCGTCAGACAACCCAATGGTCCACCTGGCATGGTCCATGGAGAAGATGCACTGGCAGCAATAGTCCATGAGCCAGGTGGTCCTCAAGCAACTTGAGGTGACCAACTGGCTCTTGACTCGGTTCGTCACGGCCTACGAAAAGGCCCACGCGGAGAAGAAGGAGGAAGACAAGGACAAGGGACCAGAAGAGGGAACAGGAGAGGGAGCGAGTCAGTAGGTACGGGGCGGCAAGGGGCAACTACAAAAAAAGTACATAAATGTATATAGAAATTTTTTGTTGACTTGTAAATTTTTTATGACTTGAATTTTTTTTGAAACAAAGGGTTGAATGGAAGTGAACGGCACAAAACGGAAGTGAACAGAAGATAAACGGAAGTAAGATGAACTTAGAAATAGAGAAGTGCAGATGGGTCAAACGAGTGAAAAACAGAAGAGGACAGAGGTCAAACCAGCAAAGGGCCCAGCTTGTTGGGATATGCCTTGTGGAATTCTTGGACTAGTTCTTGAGCATTCAGGAGTTCATCAGCTGGCTGCCAGGAGAATTCCTCATCTGTGTTCTCATAACCATACCATCGAACATAGTAGAGGAGCTTGCACTTGCGTCGTCAATCGATCTTAGAATCGACTATCTCGGCGACCTCTTACTCGAGTTCACCTTCGATTTTGACAGGTGCCGGCAGCTCAACGGCACAATTCGGAATAGTACTCGGCTTGAACGGCTCAAGCATTGAGACATGGAACACCGGATGGACTAGTCGCATGGACTGGGGAAGGCAGAGGGTGAAGGAATGAGATCCTACTTGGGCTATGATCTCGTATGGGCCGAGGAACTTTTCAGCTAGCTTCTTGGATGGACAGGTGGTTCAGAAGAATTGAGCTTTGACAAAAACTTGATCGCTGACCTTGAAGTTCGGAGCCGGAAGACATCGGTTGTTGGCTGCCTTTTGGTAGCGCTTTTGAGACTTGCGAATGTTTTCCTTAAGGAACTCGTGGAGTTCTCCTAGGTCAACAGTGAACTCTCAAGCATGGCTAGAGGCAACGTCGCGTTCCAGATGCATGGCTAAGTTCAGATGATAACCCTTGTTGGCGAAGAAGGGCGATACGCCAGTGGCATCATGTGGAGCATTGTTGTAGGCAAATTCAGCAAGCAGAAGGAGAGTGACCCAATTGTCTTGTTGGTAGTTGCAGTAGGTTCGAAGGTACTGTTCCAAGGTTTGGTTGGTGTGTTCCGTCTGGCCGTCACCTTCTGGGTGGTAGCCAGAAGTGAAATGCAGTTCTATGTCGAGAGCCTTACCCAGGCCTCGGAAGAAGTGCGAGACAAATTTGGAGCCACGATCAGAAGTGACGTGAGAGGGGACACCATGCTTGGAGAATACATTGAGGATGAACAACTCGGCCAACTTGACGGCTGTGAGGTCGGAATGTGTCAGCATGAACACGGCTTGCTTCGTGAGCCTATCGATGATGACTAGGATGTCAGTGAAACCAGCGGAAGGCAGAAGCTTCTCAATAAGGTCCATGGATATAGAATTCCAAGGACACTCAGGAACTGGAAGCTGCTTAAGGAGCCCATAAGGCTTGTGGCAGCGCGGCTTGACTCGGTTGCAGATAACACAAGAATTGACATAGTCTTTGACAAAGTCATGCATGCTGGGCCATGCATATTCTCGTCGGACCAATTTGAGAGTCTTGTTCTGGCCAAAGTGACTGGCTAACAGATGATCATGCTTGGTTTGCAACACACGGATCCGCAAGTTGTTAACGTCTGGAACAAAGATATGATCATTGAGAAGTAGTAGGCTGTCAGGGGAAAGGTGAACTTGGGGTCAGAGGGTGCCAGAAGTTGAGCGGCAGAGATCGGATCATTCAGAAGGGCTTCTTGGATGTCGGCATGAAGCTTTTTGATGTTGAGGGTGGTAGCTCCATGCAGAGAGGGTGTGATCAGAGTTGACGCTCGGAGGGACATAGCCAGCTGTTCCTGGGTGAATACTGGACAGAAGTTGTGAGGGTTGACAGTGGCGTAGTCGTTACCTCCCTCTTTAAGGTAGACGTCCCATTGTCTAGTAAGGGCATCCAGTTTGGCGCCGAGCTTGCCGGGTCGGAAGCGAATGATGAGGTTGAACTGACTTAGGTACTCGGACCAACGTGCCTGCTGACAGTTCAAGAGTTTCATGGTAGCGAAATACTCAAGGTTCTTGTGGTCGGTAACAATGTCGATGGGAGTGCCGGAGCCTTCCAGGTAGTGCCACCAGATCTGGAACAATTCATAGATCGCAAAAAGTTCCTTGTTGTGGACGTCATAGTTGAGTTTGGTTGGATTGAACATACGGGAGTGGAAAGCAACCAGGTGGATTTCTCCATTGGTCAGCTCGATAGAGAGGATAGCAGCAAGGGCATAGTTGGAAGCGTCAGTTTCGAGGATGATGGGCTGATCCGGGATCCATTGGGTGAGGACAGGAGCTGTGGTGAAGGCTTTCTTGAGGTAGTTGAACAATTCCCAGGCTTCGTCAGAAAACTTGAAGGGAACACCTTTCTGAGTGAGCCGGGTGAGAGGAACGCAGATGT